TACATCACATCACAGGCACACAGTGACAGCAGGCTCCTGTCTTAGCCCTATCTAGTCCAAAGATTAATACGGTGTCATGTTTAGACAGTGTTCTGGTTTTTGTTTGTTTCTTTTTAAACGCTAAATAAATAAATAAATAAATAAACTCGTAAAATGCATCTCACCAGTAAAACAACCTGGTGAAAATAAAATCCTCAAGTTCCAACCTTACATCTGTCTTGGGATTTACGAGAGAACTTTTTTTTTTTTAAGATTTTATTTGTTTGACACAGAGAGAGAGAGAGAATGCAAGCAGAGAGGGAGAAGCTTGACAGGGAGCCTGACCTGGGGCTCGATCCCAGGACCCAAGGAATGATCTACTGAGCCACCCAGGTGCCCTTGCAGGAGAACTTCTGAGTGTAAAGCAAATAGACCTTTAGCTCCTCCCGCATGGTCACACAGAACCAAGAGTCTGTAGTTTCTTAAAGCTGCAATACAAAATCAGAAATGTTACCCCAGAAAGTCCTACAATGGGGAACCAAGTGGGACGGCCTGCGGACAGGGGTTGTGGAGACTCCCGAGCCTTAGCCATGATTTCCCCTTCTCATTTTAACAAGACTGTTAAGATGATAATAGCAAATACTTATGTAGCGTTTAGTACATGCCAGGCACCATTTTTTTAAAAATAGCTTTACATTAAGTAGCCCATTTGGTCCTCAAGACACCCCCCTGTGAGGAAGAGAAGTTATTCTCGATATATCCATGGGGAAACTGAGGCAGAGAATTTAGATGTTTTGCCCAAGATGGCAGAGTTATTAAAGGCCAGTGGTAAAACTGCTGTAAAGAGAGGTGGTCGGGGGTATCCCTGGGTGGCTCAGCAGTTGAGTGCCCACCTTCGGCCCAGGGTGTGATCCTGGGGTCCCGGGATCAAGTACCCACATCGGGCTCCCTGCATGGAGCCTGCTTCTCTCTCTGCCTGTGTCTCTGCCTCTCTCTCTCTCTCTCTCTCTCTCTCATGAATAAATAAATAAAATCTTTAAAAAAAAAAGAGTACACCTTAAAAATGTGTGGTTTGTTCAATGTTAATTATGCTTCGATCATGCTGTTTGAAACAACAACAGAACTGCCAATATTCGGGCCCCAACTCAAGAGAGTCCATGTCAGGTGCCCCGAATGGGGCTCAGCCTAGTACTTTCTGGTTCTAAGGTGCAGTCCGACTGGGAGCCCCTGAACTAATGCTCCCCCAGGAGTTGCTCCCCAAACCAGCGAAGGGATTAAGAACAAGAGGAGGAGGGCGATGGGGAGGCTGAGAAGGACCCAGCCCATGATGCTAAGCCCAAAGTGGTTTAAGGAAGGGCATCAACCATGATTGCTGACTCCACTAGGTGGCACCTGGACCTTCTCTTGGGCGGGGACTGTTCCCTGGGCCTCGGGGACCGCGGTGCGCGCACAGAGGAGCCAGGCCAAGGGGCGCAGGCTGCGGAGCCAAGGGCGGGCCTCGCCTGACTCCAGGCCCCGGGGGGCCCAGACTGCTGCGTCTCAGGGTCGCGGTTCTAGTGTCATCTGAGGCTCAAAGAGCAGAGCTATTCTCAGGGACCAAGGAGCCACAGAGAGGAAATGAAGATCCAAGGGAGAGGCCCAAAGGCCTCGAGCTCAAGGCACCAGGCGGAGGCCACTGTCTCCAGGGCACCACCGTGCAGTCTTCTCCCCCCCATTGAGGAACACTCCGGACAGTTTTTTTTAAAAGATTTTATTCATTTATTAGAAAGAGAGAGAAAGTGAGCACGAGCCAGGGAGGAGCAGAGGGAGCGGGAGCAGCAGACCCCCTGCGGAGCATGGAGCCCACTGAGGGCTCCGTCCCACAGCCCCTGACATCCTGCCTGGAGCCAAAACCCAGGGCCTGATGCTTAACCAACTGGGTCTCTCTCCGTTTCCAGCCACCGGCCATTGCCTGGCCTCACTGTGCTGAGCCAGTGTCACTGCCCACAGTGATCACACAGCTTCGGTCACCCCTGAAGAGTCAAGTATTAGGTGGTCATGATTTGAAGGGGGGCATGTATGTTAGGCTTTGCTGTTTGTGCTCCACTGTCACCTCCACCAGGGAGCATAAAGCAAGTCCCCAAAAGAAGGTTCAAAACATATTGAAGAGGTGAGCCTGGATGGCTCAGTCGGTTAAGCGTCTGCCTTTGGCTCAAGCCATGATCTCAGAGTCCTGGGATCCAGGTCCATATCAGGCTCCCGGCTCAGTGGGGAGTCTGCTTCTCCCTCTTCCCTCCCCTTGCTTTTACTCTCTCACTCTCTCTCTCTCTCTCCCAAATAAATAAATAAAAGTTTTAAAACACACACACATTGAAGAATAAAACCCGACATCAGTAGTTTCAGATTCTCCCCAGAACCCAATACGAACCAGGGGTCCAATCTGGCCCTTAGGGTCCACAGGCCTCGGAGTACTGCATCTGCTTTGTCAGCCTCGTTCTAGCAGGGCTCTCTAGGCTCCAGTTAATTCTGTCGCCAGGATGTCCAATCAAAGTAGCTTAGATAATGGGACCCCGTCATTGTATGTGAATCCTGACACAGTGCTCGCCTTTATCTGTTCTACGTGTGCGGATTCCACGAATGATTTCTTCAAAGGAGGCTGCTGCTAAAAAGTTAGCAAAGCACTCTCCCACATCATCCTGAAATATTCTCTTTCTTAGAAACCTAAGCTGTGTTGCAAATTTGGGCACACAATTTTCAGATCATTTCAGAGAAATGATTCCTCCTTTTTGGAACACCTACTTCAGACTTTGAAGACAAAGAGCATCGTCCCCCCCTTCGCTCAAGGTTGTACCAATCTCCCAACCACTGGCCATCCAGTCTCCTTCTCTGGTTTTCTCAGATGCTCGGGGCACAGAATTCTCAAGGGAGGCCCAACCTCTGAAGGTTCAGTCCCACATGTTCCCAGCACCTCAGCTACCTTCTGTTTCAGGCTTGGTTCAGTTTCCTGGAATTGCCTTTCTGGTTCTTTGCTCCATCCTCTATTTTTCAATTGATTAAAAATTATTGTTATTAAATGCTGAGATTTTAAAATTTGTAAAATACATATAAAGAATCATTGTCCAGGAACACCTGCACACCCACCACTCAGGTAAAGAAAAATCTTATTGCCATTACACCTAAAATCCTCAGGATAGTCCCCCCAAATCTCATTCCCTTTCCTTTCCCTCCAGGGCAAACACTACACTGAATTTTGTGTATAATTTCCTTGCCTCTCTTTCTTTCTTTCTTTCTTTCTTTCTTTCTTTCTTTCTTTCTTTCTTTCTTTTTAAGGTTTTATTTTATTTATTTATGAGAGACACAGAGAGAGGCAGAGACACAGGCAGAGGGAGAAGCAGGCTCCCTGTGGGGAGCCTGACAGGGGGCTCCATCCTGGGACTCCAGGATCACTCCCTGGGCTGAAGGCAGACGCTTAACTGCTGAGCCACCCGGGTGTCTCCTTGCATTTCTTAATAGATTTCCTACATATGTTATAATCTGTAAAGAATATATTATTTAGTTCTGTATGTTTTTAAGCTTTATATAAATTGATTTCTATAGCAGTATTCTGGAGACAATAGACAATAAGATGCTTTTGAGATTCACCTATATCATTGCAGGTAGGTACAATGCATTGTTGCAATGCTTTACAGCATTCCATTGGTAATATACCATAGTTTTTTTGATCCATTGTATTTTTTTAAGATTTTATTTATTTATTCATGAGAGACACACAGAGAGAGGCAGAGACACAGGCAGAGGGAGAAGCAGGCTCCCTGCAGGGAGCCCGATGTAGGACTCGATTCCGGGACTCTGGGATCACGCCCTGAGCCAAAGGCAGATGCTCAACCCCTGAGGCGCCCCTAATCCATTTATCCATTTATTCTTGATGAACTTGGGGGCTGTTGTCAGTGTTTGCTGTCATGAACAGCCTGTGACCCCCCTTGGATCTACATCCTGGCGCACCTGGACAAGAGCTGCTCTAGGAGGGGCCTCTGGGCCATAGCACAGAAACATGCTTGTATCATCAGGATAATTCCAAATAGTTTTCCCAAAGTGGATGTTCTAATTTACGCTCCCAACATCACCGTCTTGTCTGTATCCTCGCCAGCCCTCGATGTTATCCACCTTCCTTTTACCAGTCCGGTTCGGTCGAACGGCATTTTCTTGGAGTTTTAATTCGTTTACAGGATTGCTGAAGAGGCTGAGAATATTTTCAGATGTTTATTGGCCATTTGTCTTTTCCTTCCTTGAAGTGCCTGTTGAGGGATAGCTCAGACTTCAGAGCCTGGGCCTCTGGGACCGAAGTCCCAGCCTAGAGTCTAGCTTCCAAGCCACAGCAGCAGTTGCGTGGCGGCCTCCCCGCACCTGCACCCCGTCTTACTCGGCGGCTCTCCCTCTCCTGCCCGAGGGTCTCTGTCAGGCCAGCAGCAGAGGTGGGAGCTCAGGATCCAGCTCAGGATCCCAGCATCCTTCCGGACCCACAATCTGGGGAGGAAAGTGCGGTTTTCCCGCCCCGCGGCCCTCGCTGTGCTGCAGGCAGGGGGTCCTCTCCACTGCACCCCCTGCAATTACACAAGCCCCTCTGTTATCAGTTCATCCTGTTATTAGACCCCGAGGTCTCATTCACCGGATCAACAAGTTCCGAGCTGGGTGCTAGAGACAAAAACAGGAAAAGGCCATTAGGCCCAGCCCGCGGCCGCCAGCCCGTGCGCCCTCAGGGGGCTCCGCACTGTCGCCGCGGCCTCTGTGAGGCCCCGCCCCCGCCGCGAGGCCCCGCCCACACCGCCCTGAGGCTCCGCCCACCCCACCGCGAGGCCCGCCACGTCACACGGCCCCGCCCACACCACCGCGAAAGCCCCACACCGCGGCGAGGCCCCGCCCACACAGCGAGGCCCGCCCACACCGCGGCGAGGCCCCGCCCCCGCCGCCTTGGCTTCCTCGCTCCATGCCCGGGGTCGCCCCCTCCCGGAGGCGCGTCACCCGACCGCGCCGGGAGGAGGGGGTGGAGCCCGCCGGCCGCGACGCCGCCCGGTCGCCTAGCAACGCCCCCACGCAGCGCCATGCAAGCGGGCGGCAGCCGGGAGCTGGAGGCCAGGAGTTATTTGGAGAAACATCGGATTATGGAGCTGCTGAGCTACCTCACCAGCGCTCTGCTCTTCTTCCGGCCTGGTGAGAGTCTTGCCTGCCCCTCCGGCGCTCGGTTCCCCCCAGCCCGGTCTCCCGCGCGGCCGCCGGCTCCCTTCCCGGGACCCCCGCCCGGCGCTCGCCCGCGTCTCGGCCGGCGCCGTGGCCTCCGTCACAGGCCTCCTCTCCTGGGGCTGGCGTGGCCCGGGCGCGGGCGAGCGCGGGGGCCCGGCGGGGGAGGGGGCCGGGGGGGCGGCCTGCCTCCAGTCTCCGCTTCTGGAAGATGGGGAGGAAGTACCGATCTTACGGCGCGCGGGGGAGAAATAATAAATGAATAATAATGAATAACATCCCTCTGCCTGGCAACTAGCAGATGTTTCTTCCTTTTAAGAATTTATTTATTTATTCACGAGAGACACAGAGAGAGGCGGAGACACAGACACAGGGAGCAGCAGGCTCCAGGCAGGGAGCCCGACGCGGGACTCGATCCCGGGACCCCGGGGTCACGACCCGAGCCGCTGGCAGAAGCTCGACCCCTGAGCCACCCGGGCGTCCTCCAGCAGATGTTTCATTTTGATTTATAAAAGCGTACCTACGAGGTTTATTTTTTTTAAAGATTTTTTATTTATTTACGATAGACAGAGAGAGAGGCAGAGACAGGCAGAGGGAGAAGCAGGCTCCCTGCAGGGAGCCCGATGCGGGACTCGATCTCGGGACTCGATCCGGGGACTCCAGGATCACGCCCTGGGCCGAAGGCAGGCGCCAAACCGCTGCGCCACCCAGGGATCCCGGATTATGTCCTTTATTGATTTCCCTGAAGTTAATAATACTACATTAAAAAAAAAATTTTTTTTTAAGGTTTTTATTTATTCATGAGAGACACAGAGAGAGGAAGAGGCAGAGACACAGGCAGAGGGAGAAGCAGGCTCCATGCAGGGAGCCCGATGTGGGACTTGATCCTGGGTCTCTAGGGTCAGGCCCTGGGCTGAAGGCAGGCGCTAAACCACTGAGCCACTGGGGCTGCCCCTTAAATGTTTACTTACATTTTCTGTGTCATTACCACTGATTCATCAATATCCTCTTTTTTGTCCCAAGCAGAGATCTCCTCTCAGTAGGAACGGAGATTCATCTGGAACTCCCCACCCTCGCGCATCCCCCAGCTCTCTGTTCTCGGCTCCCAGCTGGCCCGATGGCTCAGCCGCCCTGCTGGATGGCCGGACTTCAGGGGTTTCCCTCTCTCTGACACTAATCCTCTTCACCTCTCTCCTGTGCTTACAGCCTGTTTGTTTTATGGTCTTGGGTCGTCCTCTGTTTTTGCTTTTTTTCCCTCTTCCTCTAGGGGAACATATCCTCTAGATATGGCTCCCTGAGAGTGTGCTTCACTGGAGTGGTAAATATTTTGAGAACTCCTATCTGAAAAATGTGTCAGCCTACACTCAAATATGACAATAACTAGGGTAGATACAATTCCTGGTTAGAGAATATTGCCCTCAGAATCTGGAGGGCATTGCACCATTGTCTTCTAGTTGCCACTGCTGCTCTGAAGAGTCTGATGTCAAGATATCATCAGATTCTTGACGTGTTTAAGACTTTTTTTCTTCCTCTGGAAGTTTTTAGGATTGTCTTTTTATTTTATCCCTGGTGTTCTAAATGTTTATGTGCCTTGAAGTGGGTTCATCTTTGTTTTTTCCTAATCCACTGTGCTGGTAGGTACTTTGTGGTCTTAATTTGTAGATTCTTTTTTTTTTTTTTCTGTCTCCTGCTTCTTTCCTGGCCTCCTTCTCTCAAGCTCTTTCTGATGTCAACCAATGTAGTATCTCAGGGATTCATTTTTTCCTTTTAACATAAAAGGTTTTGAACTCACCTGTGGAAGATGAATTAACCTGTGGAAGGCATGATGGGGAAAAGAGAATCTAAGATAAAGACACATTCTCTCAGCAGAGAATAGGAAGGGGAAGTCTGGTAGCAGATACACGGTTAATAACACAATCCCATCACATTCAGAATTTAAATAATTATCATTGTAAGAAACTGAGATGCTGTTACCTTACCTCCTGTAACAGTGTAAATTTCTTGAGACATCTCTGCAAACTCCAAAGAGGATGGGGAGGGCAGGGCAAACCACGGGGGAAGAAATACTGAGGAAGAGCCAAGGAGGGTTTGGCTGGCGTCCCAGGTACAGGGCGGTGCGTCTCAACGTTCCCTGCCCGGATCCCCTGAGGAGCAGAAGAGAGAGGACTTGTACTTTTGGTGTCAGACCTTAGCCTGATGCTACTAGCAAGTTTCTTTGGAATAACTTGTTTTACCCTAAAAATTTACAAGTTTTGTTCTCCTACAGATCTATCCATTTCTTACTATAAACGTCACATTTTTCTCACCTCGATATGATTCATTCTCAGGAGGAAACACTATGTATGTTCTCTTGGCTCTTTATGAAACCTCTGGCATTATGACATGTATCCCAGTTTGAAAACCTTGGACTGTAAGGGGTTTATGGAAAATAAGACCACACAGTTTGATTGCATTCCTGCTGTTGAGGGGACAGGTCTACAATCCTTCATCTTCAACTTCAAAATTGTAAACGCTCTGAAAACCAACAAATTTTCATAACTCATTTAACAGCAAAACCTAACATAATCCGAAGTCATTCGGTAGGAAAATGTGTCACTCCCTAGTGACAGTTCTGTGCTGTAGAAGGAGACAGTATAAATACTTAGGGGAGGCCTTTCATAAAATTAGAATTTCATTTTTAGGGATCCCTGGGTGGCGCAGCGGTTTGGCGCCTGCCTTTGGCTCAGGGCGTGATCCTGGAGACCCGGGATCGAATTCCACGTAGGGCTCCCAGTGCATGGAACCTGCTTCTCCCTCTGCCTGTGTCTCTGCCTTTCTCTCTCTCTGTATGACTATCGTAAATAAATAAAAAAAAAAAAATTTAAAAAAAAGAATTTCATTTTTAAAAAGGAGACAGTTGTAACCCAGATGAAAGATGCTGCTGAGTGAGGATAAGATATCTTTGAGAGGGACACCTGGGTGGTTCAGTGGTTAAGCGTCTGCCTTTGGCTCAGGTCATGATCCTGGAGTCCCAGGATCGAGTCCCACATCGGGCTCCCTGCATGGAGCCTGCTTCTCTCTCTGCCTGTGTCTCTGTCTCTCATGAATAAATAAATAAAATCTTAAAAAAAAAGATATCTTTGAGAGTTATAGAGGTGGAAAACTCTAGAGACTATCATAGCTGAGTAGGTTTGGGTAGTCCAGTGCTTCCCATATTTCAGTTAGCAGAGTATGATAAAGCCTGCAAATTTTAGGGAACACACTGCCTGGACTTATACTAGCTGTGGGTCTTAGGAAAGTGTTGGTTATGTGGAATACCAAGCACGTAGTGAGGGCTCAATAAATATTAGCTATTATTAAGATGTTTAACTTGAGGTTTTGTTTCCCTTGGAAAACTGTCATTATCAGCTGACTTTTATATAATAACTTAGGTGGATAGTAACATTTGGATCTTCCCTTCATGTTTTATTTCTTTATTTTTTTATTTTAATTTTTAAAAATATTTTTTTATTTGAAGGAGCCAAGTGAGTGAGCACGGGCTGGGAAGGGTTAGAGGGAGAGGGAGAAGTAGACTCCTCGCTGAGTAAGGAGCCTGATGCAGGGCTTGATCCCAAGATCATGACCTGAGCTCAAGGCAGATGCTTAAGCAACTGAGCCACCCAGGCACCTCCCTTCCTGTTTTAAAAAGTTAAATCTTTTGGGGTGGCTTGCTGGCTCAGTCTGTGTAGCACACAACTCCTATTCTCGGGGTTGTGAGTATAAGCCCCATGTTGGATAGAGAGATCACTTAAAAATAAAAAATTATTGGAGTTAATATCTTTTTTTAAAAAGATATGCAGGTATAAAGAGAGAGAGCACAAAGCAGAGGGAGGCAGGCGGAGGGAGAGGGAGCATCAGATGCCCAAGGAGCAGGGAGTCCCATGTGGGGCTCCATCCCGGGACCCTGAGATCATGACCCTGAGCCGAAGGCAGACGCTTAACTGGCTGAGCCACCCAGGTGCCCCTAACGTTAATACCTTTATTATTTCTGTTGTAAGCATTTTCAAAATATTTTGAGATGCAGGCAGAGTATAGATTCCAGACATAAACATTATAACATCTCGTGCGGTATGAAGGATATACAGTAAAAATCCTTCATCAGAGAAACACCGCAAGTTCCATTAACATTATTTACTTACCCTGTCCTTAAAAAGTAGTGAACTGAGGGGATCCCTGGGTGGTGCAGCGGTTTAGCGCCTCCTGCAGCCCAGGGCCTGATCCTGGAGACCTTAGGATCGAGTCCCATGTCGGGCTCTCTGCCTGGAGCCTGCTTCTCCCTCTGCCTGTGTCTCTGCCTCTCTTTCTCTCTGTGTCTCTATGAATAAATAAATAAAATCTTTAAAAAAAAAAAAAGAAGTCCTTAACCTTTTGGAGGTATATGCTCAAATATTTATTAATGAATATTATCACTGTAATTTACTTCAAGATAGTACAGGAAGGAGGGGACCTGGGTGAGATGATGATGAAATGAAACTGGCCATAGATTTTAAGTAAAGGTGATTGATGGGTTCATTATACTTTCCTACTTTTATAAATTTATAAAATTCTCAAAAGTTTTTATATTTTTATTTTTTTAAAGATTTTATTTATTATTCATGAGAAACACGGAGAGAGAGGCAGAGACATAGGCAGAGGGAGAAGCAGGCCCCCCTGCAGGGAGCCCGACTTGGGACTCGATCCCAGGACCTCAGGATCACGCCCTGGGCCGAAGGCAGATGCTCAACTGCTGAGACACCCAGGCGTCCCAAGAAAAAGTTTTTAAAAGAAATACATAATCACTGTGTGTGTGTAGTGGGTGGCATTCATATTTAAGCTGCTCCATCTTCTGCTTAAAAAGCTGCGCCTTCTGCAGCTGCTTCCACCTGCATTATTTCTGGAAAACGGATTGATCTTTTTTTTATCTTTCCTATTGCTTAAATGAGAGATACCCTATTTATTCAAATTACTGCTTTTGTGTTTGAAGTGAACATTTATGCTTCCTAATGGAAAACTATATTAATCTAAGAGTCTCTTTTTTTTTATTTTTTTTTAAGAGTCTCTTTTTATTTACATTTTATCCTTTCTTTTCGCTGGCCACCTTCCCTGCATCATGCTGTACTTTTAAAAATTTATTTCTTTTGGTTTTTGACACTTGTCTGTAAATCAGAATCACCTGAGCAGTTTTAAAAAATACCCAGTGGATGCCTGGGTGGCTCAGCGGCTGAGCGTTGCCTTGGGCTCAGGGCATGATCCTGGAGTCCTGAGATGGAGTCCTGTATCAGGTTCCCCCCAGGGAGCCTGCTTCTCTGTCTGCCTATGTCTCTGCCTCTTTCTCTGTGTCTCTCATGAATAAATCAATAGAATTTCTTAAAGAATAATAAAAAATTAAAAAAATACCCAGGTCCCATATTTGGGATAGAGCACTTTCTATATGTGTTTAATGTATTGTTTTTCATGTAAGCAAGGTTTTCACCCAGTGCCTAGTACCTTGAACATAGTTATTTAATAAGGACTATTTCCATTTGTGATAGATCTTAATTTTATATCAGAAAGAACTGAAACTATTCTTTTACAGAAAAACCAAGAGAGTATTTAATATCTATATTGGAACGACTGAGAATTGCCAAAATAACAGGCGTGGCCTTTCCTTTCTTTATGGATCACTCTAACATTGTGGCTATGTTTGAGATGATGGACACTTCAAGTAAAGGCACCATATCATTTGTGCAGTACAAAGAAGGTCAGTATCATCTACCAATTGAAGTAATAGTTTGCACTCATTCCATAACTTTCCCTAGTTGAAAATAATGCTTATAAATTTTCCTTTCTTCTCGTTGTGGTTTTATAGCCCTGAAAACCCTGGGTCTGTTGAATAAAGATGAAGTTTTAATAGATGATGGACATATAATAACTTTGGATAAATTCAGAGCTGAAGTGTAAGTTTATTTTTACATGACTGATACTTAAATAGTATGACATGATTTTGAAGTACAATGTAATTTAAAGTAATTTAAAACAGAAGTTCCTACCTTTTGGCAAACATTTCATTGCCTTGAAACTTTCACCTGTCTAGAAAGCAAGGAGTGACAGTAAAGTCTGGAATTAGAAGTTCCGGGGGGCAGCTTCATTCTTTTCTCAATGGGAAAGCCTGGCAATTCTTAAAAAATGAGGTAGAGAAGACCCAGGCTGCTAGAACTACAGAAAAACTTTGACCCCAAGACACTAGTTGCAAAATCTCTATAAAATATGGAGTAATAGGGATGCCTGGGTGGCTCAATGTTTCAGCACCTGCCTTTGGCTCAGGGCGGGATCCTGGAGTCCCCGGATTGAGTCCCGCATTGGGCTCCCTGCATGGAGCCTGCTTCTCCCTCTGCCTATGTCTCTGCATTTCTGTGTCTCCTGTGAATAAACCAATAAAATCTTTTTTTTTTTTAAGATTTTATTTATTTATGACAGGGCTGGGGGGCAGAGACACAGGCAGAAAAGAAATCATTAGAGTCCAAAGCAATGGAAAAGTAGGAAGAAAAAAAAGCTTAAGATTCCCATTTCATTGCCAGTTACATAAATATTAAAAAGTGTTTAGTTCCCATCACTACCCTGGAGGAAGGACTGAAACACAGTACTCTGGCCTGAAATGTTTCATCCAAAAGAAAAGGCTGCCCACTGTCATATGGAATGGAACTAGGAAGGATTTTATTCATTCATTCATTTAAGATTTTATTTATTCATGAGAGACACAGAGAGGCCAAGACACAGGCAGAGGGAGAAGCAGGCTCCATGCAGGGAGCCCAACATGGGACTTGGTCCCAGGTCACCAGGATCAGGCCCTGGGCTGAAGGCGGCGCTAAACCGCTGAGCCACCTGGGCTGCCCTATTTCTTTACTTATTTTTAAAAATTTACTTATGAGAGAGAGCAATAATGAGCACATGGGGGGGGGGGGGAGAGCCAGCAGACTCCCTGCTGAGTACAGAGCCCAACTTGGTTCTTGATCTGAGGACCCGGAGATCATGACCTGAGCTGACAGCAGGAGTCCGATGTTTAACCCACTGAGCCACCCAGGCGCCCCTAGGAAGAACAAATATAAGGACATTTGTGGAAAAATGAAATCAATTCTATTTTAGTCACCATCTCATGTTCTCTTATAGGAAATACAGTGAATTTCCAAGCCAGATAGGAACTTCTAATTATAAACATGCATTCTAAAGTGATTTTTTTAAAAATTTATTTGCTGTGTTTATCTACAAGTTTCCCTTAATTAGCATAGGATGAAAATTTGTCATAATTTATTATCTCTGCTCTTGTATCTTATTCAGTAGACATGTATTTCTAAATGCAATTATTCTGCATTTTCCTGGCTTCTGAGTTTTCTGTTTTTGTTTTCTTAGGAACAAGAGGACTGAGGAAATATGGTCATCATTTTAATTACACTGTAAGTCCAAGATTAAATGATTCTCCGTAAAGTTTTCAACTGTCCAGTTTCATTAATTCAGAACATCGTCATTTAACTTGAAATCCAATTTGTCTTCCTCTTTGTTAAAACCCAAAACTCCAAAACAAAAAATGATGCATTATTTTCCAGTGTTAGGCCAGTTTGTCCTCAAATTAAGCAGAATCTCAACATCTTGTTGAGCCAGTTTATAAATTCCAACTTCATTTAATGCGGCTGTGGCAGAGGGCTGGCCTGAAGCTGACTGCAGGACATCCTTCAGAAGTAGGGCAGAACCAACATTCAGATTCAGAACAATACAGGCTTCTTTTACACTGTGGGGGGAAAAAAAAGGCAGGAGGGAAATGAGATATCCGATATATATATATATCATCCACATTATTCCATAATGTAGTCATTTTCAGAAACTAAACAGCTTCCCTACACTGCTAGTCCATATTGTCCTCTATAAAATATACTTACGGATTATTATTTGGCTCTTTTAACACATTAGGACTATGTATTTATACAGTGTTTATATTTTATTAGATTACTGTAATGTAATAGGATCATTGTTTTCAATATGTATCTATTACCACCCAAAATATAACATTGATACTAACATAGTAACCTATTAAATGTAGCTAAGACTTGTGCTAGATTAGAATATGGAAAGAGAAGAAACCAAAAAAAAAAGAAAAAGAAAAAAAAATTCAGATAGCTTAACTAAAATTAGCAAAAATAATCTTGTTTTACAATAACTTTAAAAGAATGTTCTATAATCTCAAATTTGCCCCCAATAATTTAAATTTTAAATCAATTTCTAAAAATACTAAGAATTTTTCTTACATAAAGTTATGCTTTGAACCAAAATTAATAAATATTTGGGCAGCCTGGGTGGCTCAGTGGTTTAGCGCCGCCTTTGGCCCAGGGTGTGATACTGGAGACCCTGGATCGAGTCCCATGTCGGGCTCCCTGCATGGAGCCTGCTTCTCCCTCTGCCTGTGTCTCTGCCTGTCTCTCGCTCTGTGTGTGTCTCATGAATAAATAAATAAAATCTTTAAAAAAAAAAAACAAAAAAAAATAAATATTTAAGAAAACAAATTTTCTTCAGGCCTGGCATACTATTAGGTACTAAGCATATTTCTAATTTCTAATACTTATTGAGTATGGAAGAACTGCACTTGTTGCATTTTCTCTCTCCAGTAACAGGCAAATAGCATGGGATGCCTGGGTGGCTCAGCGGTTGAGCGTCTGCCTTCAGCTCAGGGTGTGATCCCGGAGTTCAGGGATCCAGTCCCACATTGGGCTCCCTGCATGGAGCCTGCTTCTCCCTCTGCCTGTGTCTCTGACCCTGTCTCTCTCTCTCTCTCTGAGTAAATAAATAAATCTAAAAACAAACAAACAAAAAAAGGCAAGGGCAGCCCAGGTGGCTCAGTGGTTTAACGCTGCCTTCAGCCTAGGGCGTGATCCTGAAGACCCAGGATCCAGTCCCACGTCGGGCTCCCTGCATAGAGCCTGCTTCTCCCTCTGCCTATGTCTCTGCCTCTCTCTCTGTGTGTCTCTCATGAATAAATAAATAAAATCTTAAAAAAATAAAAAATAAAGGCAAACAGGAGCATTAAACTAAATGCAAGAAATAAAAAGCCCAACACATCATTTAGAACCAGTTCTGATTTAAATAGAGGAAGGGGGTCATGGGTCATGTCTTGGATTATCTGGGTATACAGTGCATGTCCTAAAATTTTAATTGATGCTCTGTTTATCCCACCAAACATCACTAGAACCCAAGAATTGTTATAAAAAAAGAATCCACCTCCTCTATAAACACTTGATACACTAGCAGTCATGGTTAAATATTGAGCTTACTGTTTAAAATAATTTTCCGGTCTCTTGCAATAGTGGGAGAACAGGGGGAACAGATTCCGCGTCATATCGAACTGCAACTGAGCTGCTCCTCCTTCATTGAAATGATTAGCAAGGATGATCTGCAACAAAGAGCAGTCATGTAACAGCTGCCTTTATCGTCACAGCCCGGACTGCAGCCTGCTCTTACTCACTTCTTGGTAGATGTATACGTCCAGCTTCTCCACAAGCATCTGCCAGAAAATTTTAAATAAGGAGAAGCAGAGTTGCTGCTCCAGCTGCAGTGAGCGGTCTCTCAGCGTGAGCAGGAGTGGGCAGGCTGAGGTGGACAGCGACATCACCGCCTGCTCGGCCTGGGACGGCAAGGACAACCACCTGGAAGACACAAAGGCAGCAAGGCTCATGGAACATTAAGGTTTAGGAAAGATTCTCAAAACTTGGTGTGTTTTAAGACTTAACAAATCCTTTCAAATTCAGGGAAGTGCACTTTGGATGAGAAACAATGTACAGCCAGCACAAAAAGCTGTCTCAGAAAGTAAATATATTTATACTTTATCTCTGTATTAAATACTCCCTATGTGACGATGACGATGACACATAGTATTTTTTTTAATCCCCTATGTTAATGTGACTTACTGAATCATTATAAAACAGGCAAAATGTAACCCGTATTAGCATTTAAGACATCAGCTAACTTCATAATCTGATTTTCAGCAAAAGACCAGGGACTGAAAACACTTCCAAACTGATTATAAATAGTCTGTGGGACAGGGACTCCGCTTGAACAGACGCACACAGAGGACATGGCGTGGCGAAGGTAACCAACTTCCACACAGAACCATAAGGGTGGGATAAAGCGTACCAGGCATGCACAGAACACTACAGGAGCACCATGCTTTGGTACATGGCTGACAGGCCACCCAACCCCACATCATACACCAGTTCTCTGTATTTACAGATCCATCTGACGGTGAAATTATGACCACTTTATTCCAATTAAGAATGTATTAATATATTTTAGAAAGCTTTCCATCCGAAATAGTTCAAAATTTGTGATACCAATGGCCAAACGCTGCTTATCTGGATACCTTAGAAATGTGACTGCATATATCATCTTTCAATTTTTTTTAACTTTTTAATCAGCAGTGCTCATCACATGTGCCCTCCTTAATCCCTGCCACCTATTTCATTCATTCCCCCACACCTTCCCCTCTGGTAACCATCAGTTTGTTCTCTAGAGTTCAGAGTCTGTTTCATGTTCATTTGTTTTATGCCTTAAATTCCACATGAGTGAAATCATTTGGTATTTGTCTTTCTCTGACTTTTTTCTTTTTTAAAGATTTATTTATTCATGAGAATACACAGAGAAGAGAGAGAGAGAGAGGCAGAGACACAGGCAGAAGGAGAGAAGCAGGTTCCACGCAGGGAGCCCGACATGGGACTTGATCCCGGGTCCCCAGGATCACACCCTGGGCCGAAGATGGCGCTAAACTGCTGAGCCATCCGGGCTCCCCTCTCTGACTTATTTCACTTAGTATTATACTCCCTAGCTCCATCCAGGTCTTGCAAATAGAAGATTTCGTTCTTTCCATTCTTTTTTATGGCTAAATAATACTCCACTATCCATAATTTTATATTCATTCCTTTGAATTAGTGTTTTTGTATTCTTTGGGTAAATACCCCATAGGGCGATTGCTGGATCATAGGGTAATTCTATTTTTGAAATATAATTTGAGGTCTGCAATCTTGATGCTTCTAGCTATGCTTCCCCTCCCCCACTGCTTTGGTTATTCAGGGTCATTTGTGGTTCCATACAAATTTTAGGATTGATTGTTCTAGCTCTGTGAAAAATGCCCTTGTATTCTGATAGGATTGCATTAAATGTATAGATTGCTTTGGATAGTATAGACATTTGAATATTTGTTTAGTGCATGAGTATGGAATGTCTTTTCTTTGTGACATCTTTAATTTCTTTCATCAGTGTTATAGTTTTCAAGAATATAGGTCTTTCACCTCTTTGGTTAGGTTTATTCTTAGGTATCTTATTATTTTCGGTGCAAATGTAAATGGGATTGTTTTCTTAATTTCTTTTTCTGCTGCTTCATTATTAGTATACAGAAATGCAACAGATTTTTGTACATTGTGTATCCTGTGACTTTACTGAATTTATTAGCAGTTTGTTGGTGGAGTCTCTCAGGTTTTCTATATACAGTATCATGTCAACAACACATACTTAATGTTCTTCCTGACCTTAGGGGAAGAGGCTTTCAGTTTTCCCCCACTGAATATGATGTTCGCTGTGGGATTTTCATATATGGCCTTTATTATGTTGAGGTATGTTCCTCCAAACCTACTTCATTGAGGGTTTTTATCATGATGGATGTTGTGCTTTGTCAAATATTTTTTCTGCATCTGTTGAAATGATCATATAGTTATCCTTTCTCTTAGTAATGTAATGTGTCACACTGATTTGCAAATATTGAACTACTCTTCCCACTTGATTGTGGCGAATGACTTTTTTTAATGTGTTGTTGGGTTTGGGTTCATAGTATTTTATAGGTGCCCCCGATGGAGAAGCCTGAGGTGGTAAAGATGCACCTGGATTTTTGCATCTGTGTTCAGCAAGGATATTGGCCTGTAATTCTCTTTTTCTGAGGTGCCTTTATCTCGTTTTGGTTATCAGGGTCATGCTGGCCTTGTAGAAAGAATTAGGAAGCTTTCCTTCCTCTTCTATTTCTTGGAATAATTTCAGAAAAACAGTTATTTATCATCTGGATTTGGAAGTTGCGTTGTAAGAAAATACAGAAGGACTTACCTTTCTTTTTTATACAATTTTGCAGCTTCTTTAACTTCTCTAAAAACGTGGTCTACCTGACGGGTCAACATGTCATGTTTTAAACGCTCCAGCAGGTTAATCATGTCATCAAAGACAGAACTTTCCATGGACGCTAGCTGTCCCAGCTGCAACTTACTCAGGGTGTTATTCTCTGCAAAGACCTCCAGTGCTGCCTGCTGAAGTTGAAGGAAGAACTGAAAGCAAAAATATGTCAACATAGTCAGTAAAACCTTTTTTTTAATATATATTTTATTCATTTATTCATGAGAGACAGAGAGGCAGAGACACAGGCAGAGGGAGAAGCAAGCTCTTCACAGGGAGCCTGATACCGGACTTGATTCCAAGACCCCAGGATCACCTGAGCCAAAGGCAGATACTCAACCACTGAGCCACCCAGGCGTCCCCAAATCCTTCTTCTCTAACAGCTTGAAATATAATTCACACGACATCTCATTTGTTTAAAGTGGACAATTCAATGGCTTTAAGTGTATATTCAGAATTGTGGGATCCCTGGGTGGCGCAGCAGTTTGGCGCCTGCCTTTGGCCCAGGGCGCGATCCTGGAGACCCGGGATCGAGTCCCACATCGGGCTCCCGGTGCATGGAGCCTGCTTCTCCCTCTGCCTGTGTCTCTGCCTCTCTCTCTCTCTGTATGACTATCGTAAATAAAAAAAAATAAAAAAAAAAGAATTGTGTGTTGATCACTAGTCAATTTTAAACATTTTTAAAGATTTTATCTGAGAGAGAGCGCAAGCAGGGGGAACAAGCAAGCAGAGGGAGAAGTAGGTTCCCCACTGAGCAAGGAGCCCGACACGGAGCTCAGTCCCAGAACCCCGGGATCAAGACCTGAACCGAAGACAGATGCTTAACCAATGAGCCACCCAGGTGCCCCTAGTTGTTTTCATTACCCTAAAAAGATACCCCACACTTAACCATCATCTCCCAATCCCTTCTCTGTGCCTCCCACCCCCCAAACCCTAGGCAACCACTAATCTTTGTCGACTTGACTGTCTGACTTCTTTCACTGAGCATGTTTTCAAGGTCCATCTGTAATGTAGCATGTATCTGTACTTAATTCCTTTTCATTGCTGAATAATAATATCCTATTGTGTTTACATTTTATTTATATATTTTTTATTTATCCGTTCGTCAGTTGACAGATAATTGGATTCTTTCCACTTTCTGTCTTTATGAATAATACTGTATGAACATTTGTGTGTGCGTCTTCATTTCTCTTGCACACCTCTAAGACTAGTATTGCTGGATCATATGGTAATTCCATGGTTTTTTTTTTTTAAATTCCATGTTGAGGATCTATTTTCTACAGTGACTGTACCAGCATTCAAATTTCTCCACATCTGCACTAATAATTATTATCTTTTCATTATAGACATCTTAGTTTCTATTTAGTTGAATCTCACTGTGATTTTTTTTTTTTTTTTGAGGTTGAGAAAGTGTCAGTGCAAGCAGTAGTGGGGAGGGATGGGAGATGGAGAGAGAAAATCTCAAGCAGACTCCTCACCCAGTACGGAGCTCAATGTGGGGATCTCACAACCCTGAGATCATAATCTAGGTCAAAATCAAGAGTGAGACACTCAGCCGACTGAGCCACCCAAGGGCTCCTTCTCACTGTGATTTTAATTTGCATTTGTGCGATGGCTAACTTCTCTGGGTATTCATTTTTTCTACAGACAGACTGATCATTGTAGTAATAAATGCATCAGATTTACTAGAATTAAGAAAATTAAAATGTAATTTTTTACAATGGCATTTTAGGTAGAATTCATATTATTTTCAGAAAAAGTATTTTTTCTACCCTACAGAAAAATAATGCTATGGATAATTAGCAAGATTGTAAACAGCCTAAACGTTCATTAACAGGGGACCAGATGTGGCCACACTAGTGATTGTTCAGGGCTGGACATGTGAGAGGCCGAGCTGGTATTCTCTGCTCAAACCATCTGAGAAGAGGCACTGGTCCTTTTGCGACTGCGGAAGGATAATGTGAGCTGGGAGCCACCGGCGACCACACTTCCCAGAGCTGGCCTGAGAATGAAGCCAGGAGTGAAGGAGTTTAGGGCAGCCTAATGTTTTCAGTTACACAAATTCCTCACCTCCCCAGCCCAGCCTCCAACCCCCAATCAGGCCAGCTCGAATCCAGTTCTATCACCTACAACTCAAAAATTCCTGACTCTGAAGAGCTGAGTATGTCGGGCTTGGCACAATCTGGCAATAGTCAGCCATTAGTGCAGAATCTAAATGAGTGGAAGGTGAACTCTGTCCACTCTTCTTTTTTCTATCTAGGAAATACAAGGGCTTTAATGATTTTTATTTTAAGCATTCACAAACTGAAGGACCGTGAAGATGGTTAAATAATTTTTGATGTTAAACTATAATAACATACAAGGACAAAGAACTTCATGATTTGAAAAGTAATTCTAAATTACTTCTGTTGACAGAAGGACCCGGTTAATTCAGCATCAGATTATAAATTTCCTAAGGATAGAGATGATGGCCAATTCACTGTTGTTAACAGACTATGGCACCAAGTAAAGTAGTTAATGATGTTCCACAAATAATTCGCTGAAGCTAAAAATCTGGCCTTGAATGAGTCTCTTATTAGATCATCTGGCACAAGAATCAGGAATGACAATTTGTTTTATGACAAAGCTTAGCAGAAAATGGAACAGTATGGGGGCTGAGTGAAAAAAATACTTACTAAAATGAGGAAACCAACATATGAAAGTACACAATGAATAATGCATTCTAATTACGTGACTTTATAAACAAATGCATTGCTTATACTCTACATTATATTCATTTTATGAAATAATTATTGTGTCTTATTTTCCTATCTTAGTAGAATGATACTATGCACATGGATATCAGTTAATGTTTTTGCAGAAAAAAAGGCTTTAATTAGTAAGTCCCCCCCCAAAAAAAAAGTAAGTCCCAACCAAACTTGTCTATCTACATACTACAATGCAAGAGCAATGTAGAAAAAACTATTTTGTTTTATCATATTGGTGCATTTAATGCACACACACACACACAATATCATTTCCATAGAGAGAGAGGGAAGGGTTAGAGACATGTAATTTATGACCATCTACGTCGCAGGATGTAACACTACACACACCACACATGAATATATAGCTAGCTCTGTCGCTATCTCGAGATTTTTTAGTTTATAAAGATATAATTCTTATATAAATATTTAAATTATGTATTATTTGGGTAACTCAATATCATATCTCCTAGACACTACAGATCTCACTAATTAACTTAAAGAAAATCTCATCTCATACTAAGTGAGAGAGCGAGAGAGTATATCTATATACCTAACAAAATCATGAAAGAGAGGTGAGTAGGTGTGAGCGAGCATTCTCCTCTCAGTCTCACTCATCTCTAACCTAGATAATATCTTGTTTTGAAGGGTGTAAGTTTTGTAAATGAGGTTTTGTGTGTGTGGTGATTGTGTGTTTTATGTGTTTTGGGAATTTGTGGAATATTTTGTTGTATTTATATTATTGGTTTATAGATAAAAGTATAAAAGTTGGTTTAGTTAAACGAGAATGGTGAAAGAAAGAATAAATGAAAATTAAAGCCAACCATTTAAATAGGTGGGTGGTGGTTGTATGTTTAGGGAATGTTAAAAATAATTTTAAATTAATTGTAGAGATTTATAATATTCTGTAAAACATCGAAATTATGTTTTCTGGTATACTATGACATCACCAATCCTTAGTTCATCTTTCTAATCATTTTACACTGGAATTTTTCAATTCCCTCTTTATCTACCACTGTTTATAAATGGTATTTTTAAGTCATATCAAAATTATAGGTTTTTTTGTTGTTTTACTTTCCTATTTTTATTTCATGACACAATCATATAATACTTTATAATGTATGTCAGTACGGTTGGTTTTTTTTTAACCATTTAATATGTATTTCATGGTTTTATGGTCATATTAATTCTTCGTTAATACTTCCTTGTCATGAAACCCACTTTATGGGACACACTGGTGAAAACCCAAGGTGATTTCTGTATCCATACAGATGATCATAGAACAGTGAGTCCAAACCCAAGGGTACCCTGTCCAAGGAGTTCCTGGAAACCCTCTGAGATCATTCCAATGTAAGATATCCAAAGGAATTAATCTATGCTAAGGCTATAAAGGCTAATTATAATTAAGCTTCTTCACTTTTGGCTAGAAGTACATATTGGAAAATCTGGCTATGAAATGCCTTGATTGCCAATGTTTTCCTTGGATTAATAAAAAGAGTAAACAGAAATTACTAATTAATAATTATATTTAGGTGGACGCCTGGGTGGCTCAGTTTGAGCCTCACGTAGAGATTACATAAAAAAATAAAATAAAATATAAATAATAATATTTATACCCTTTGAATGCCTTTAAAACATGAATAAATACAGGGGCACCTGGGTGGCATAGCTGGTAAGCAACCAACTCTTGATTTTATTTAATTTTAATTTTTATTTATTTATGATAGTCACACACAGAGAGAGAGAGAGAGAGGCAGAGACACAGACAGAGGGAGAAGCAGGCCCCATGCACCGGGAGCCCAACGTGGGACTCGATCCCGGGTCTCCAGGATCGCGCCCTGGGCCAAAGGCAGGCGCCAAACCACTGCGCCACCCAGGGATCCCTAAGCAACCAACTCTTGATTTCAGTGCAGGTTATGATCTCAGGGTTGTGAGATCAAGCCCAATGTACATGATCGGCAGGAGTCCACTTGGGATTCTCTCTCTCCCTCTGCCCCTCCCTCAGCTCTTGTGTCCACATGCCGCACACATGGTGTCTCTCTCTCAAACAAATAAATCTTTAAAAAATATATTTAGGCAGACCAAATCCATCAACACATAGAATTGTGTGGAAAAAAGAAAGATAAATAAAATTCTTGGACGTAAAAGGTCTTATAATACTTGCTAACCAGACCCAAGATTTTGATTTTTAGATTTATTTAAAAGATACCTCCCACTACAAGAAATTAACTCTTTTGAATGATGTGATAATGGTATTGTGGTTATGTTTTTTTTTAAAAGGAATTCTTTTAGAGATACATTTTGAAATATTTATCATGAAGCATATCTAACATAGTCAAAATAGGGATGCGTGGGCGGCTCAGCGTTTGAGCGTCTGCCTTCAGCTCAGGGCGTGATCCCGGAATCTGGATCAGGTCCCACATGGGGTCCCCTGCAGGGAGCCTGCTTCTCCCTCTGCCTGTGTCTCTGCCTCTCTCTCTGTGGGTCTCTCATGAATAAATAAATAAATCTTTTTTAAAAATATTCAAAACAATCAAGGGTGTGGGATGAAGAAGAGGCTTAAATAAAAACTGGTTTAAGAACCTGGGTCATGGGCACATGGGAGTCTCTTTTATTCTATTTACTCATGTTTTGTTTCTTTTTTAAAGATTTATTTATTTATTTTAGAGAGGGAGAGACAGAGTGGGATCAAGAGCGTAAGCACGAGGGGCAGAGGGAGAATCCCAAGCCTGATGCAGGGCTCAATCTCACAACACTGAAATCACCACCTGAGGGGAAACCAAGAGTTGGACACTTAACTGACTGGGCCACCCAGGTGCCCCTCTATGTACTCGTGTTTTGAAGGCATTCAAAATGTATCAAATATTATTATTTTTATTTTATTTTATTTTTTAATGTAATCTCTGTGGGGTGTGAATTCAGGACCCTGAGACTAAGAGTCACATGTTCCACCAACGAGCCAGCCAAGTGCCCCTCAAATGTTCTTATTTTATCTTCCTTAAAGTCCTGGATTTTATTGATTTTGAAAGCACTATTCAATCTTAGCTTTTGCTGAGATGGTAATTACCATACATGAATATTTCCCAAGTCTAAAGAAAAAGGTTCAATCTATAGACAACTATTTCATGAAAGGTTGTCTTTCTTTTCCAATGATTAAAAAATTGAGATTATTTAACCATTTGAGACTTAGTTGAGAAAAATATGTAATTTAATCATATCCCCTAAGTTTGCCCTCATCGTTATTCTACCTAATGTGAATTTCTGCATGCCATAAATTCAACATTTCAAAAGGTAAAACTCTGAAAACTGCTACTCTATTATTTAATATAAAAGCACATTAACAGAACACCTGGCTGGCTCAGTCAGAAGAGCATACAACTCTTGATCTCAAGGTCATGAGCTGAAGCCCCACACTGGGTGTAGAGATTAATAAAAAAATAATAATAAACTTAAAAAATATATATTAAAATAAATTAATAAAAGTACATTAACTTACAACATTGTCAGCCCAATCTGCCAGTACTGTTGAGATATAGTTCACGGCATTGAGAATCGCACAGTATCGAAAGCCAAGGGAAGCTCTAGTCTCTTCTTTCATCACCTGAGTTAACCGTATCCTAAAATCATCTACTAAGTCCTTCTGTAACTCCAGGAACTGTAGCTTTCTGGAAGCTGTGGGAAGATTTTTATATCTGTCTGTGGAGAAAGTTAACAAGACATATGAAGGTTTGGGTTCTGTCCACAACACAGTTATAGATTTTCCCTATTGACATGCTTTGGTGCCTTTGTCAAAAAAAATCTATCACCAGGGCACTTGGATGGCTCAGTTGGTAAAGCACCTGCCTTCAGCTCAGGTCATGATCCCAGGGTCCTGGGATCCAGCCCTGCATCAGGCTCCTTGCTCAGTGGGAGGTCTGCCTCTCCCTCTCTCCCTCTCTCCCTCTCCCCTCTCTCTCAAATAAAATAAGTAAAATCTTTAAAAAAAAATTTCACCATTCAAAATATGGACTTATTTCTAAACTTTAAAAGGGTGTGGGTTTCACAAGTATATGTACTTGTCAAAACTCATTGAACTGTATACTTCAGATTTGTTTTTCACGTGTATAAATTACATCTCAAATTTTTTTAAGGCATGAGGAACTTACAGATGATCCCTGATTTATGATGCTTCAACTTAAAATTTTTCAAGTTCACAATGGTGCAAAAGCCATGCCCATTCATAGGGACTACTTCAAACTTTTGATTTGGGTCTTTTCCTAGACTAGCAATATGGGGTACAACCGTCTCATGATCCTGGGTGCAAGTGGGAGCAAGTCACAACTCTGTCAGCTGTGGTGGGATGGAGAGGGTAAACAACTGATGTGCTTACAGCCATCACAGAATGGCTGTACCCACACAACAATTCTGGTTTTTGCAAATAATTCAATAAATTATATGAAATAGTTAATAGTTTATTATAAATGCTTTTATGTTAGATAATTTTCCCCAACTATTGGCTAATGTAAGTGTTGTGAGCAAGTGAAACCTACTGTGATGTTCAATAAGTTAGGTTTATTAGATGCATTTTTTTTTACCTAAAGTATTTTGAACTTTGAATAGGTTTATCAGGAGGTAGCCCCTGATAAGTCAAAGATCTTTATGTACAAAAATCATCCCATTTCTTCAACAAAAAGAGGACTTATTTTTTACCGGGAGGAGGAGATGCCTGGGTGGCTCAGCTGGTTAAGCATCTGCCTTTGACTCAGATCATGATCCTGGGTGCTAAGATCAAGCCCCCTGTTGGGCTCCCTCTTCAGAGGGGAGCCTGCTACTCCTCCCCACTTCCCTTACCCTCTGCCCCCCACCCTCCCCTCATGCTCTCTCTCTCAAACAAATAAAAATCTTTAAAACATGTATTAAATAAATTAATTAATTAAATGAAGGAAGAACTACAATAGAAGAGATATACACTTAAGAATTTATAGGTGAGGGGTGCCTGGTGGCTCAGTTGGTTGAGTGTCAGACTCTTGGTTTCAGCTCAGGTTGTGATCTCAAGGTGGTGAGATTGAGCCCCAGTCAGGTTCCACTCTCAGTGCAGGGTCTGCTTGAGATTCTCTCTCTCTTCCTCTCCCTCTGCTCCTCCCATTCATGCTCTCTCTCTCAAATAAGTAAAGAAAAATCTTTAAAAGGGGGGGGGGGGGCGTGGAATGCCTGGGTGGCTCAGCAGTTAAGCATTTGCCTTCAGCCCAGGGTGTGATCCTGAAGACCTGGGATTGAGTCTCACATCAGGCTCCCTACATGGAGCCTGCCTCTCCCTCTGCCTATGTCTCTGCCTCTCTCTCTTTCTCTGTGTCTCTCATGAATAAGTAAATAAAATCTTTTTTTTTTTTTTTAAAAAGAAAAGTTGGGGAGAAAACCATGTAAACTTTTTAAATTCAAACTTTTAAACTTTAGTAACAGATACCTGAAGTTTCATTACATTAGATCACTTTTGTGTATGTTTGAAAATTTCCCTATAAAAAGTTTTTGTTTTTGTTTTTTAAAAACTGAGTTAAAAAAATAATAATAAGGAATCCCTGGGTGGCTCAGCAGTTTAGCACCTGCCTTTAGCCCAGAGCATAATCCTGGAGTCCCGGGATCGAGTCCCATATCGGGCTCCCGACATGGAGCCTGCTTCTCCCTCTGCCTGTGTCTCTGCCTCTCTCTCTCTGTCTCTCATGAATAAATAAATAAAATCTTAAAAAAAAAAAAAAAGGGAAAAAACTATCTAAAACTCAGGTCAATCTACTGAAGACACTTAAGCTGAATGGCAAGAGAATTAAGGTAATAAAATTAAATTCTCATTTAATTGTTTTTATTGTAACCATTCAGGAATTTCCCCCTCATATATACCAATGTTTAAGATCTTTTCTTTTTTTAAGATTTTATTTATTTGAGAGAGAGAGAGAGAGCGAGCACGCAAGCAAGGGGAGTGGGAGAGGGAGAACCAGGATCCCCACTAAGCAGAGAGCCTGACTCAGGACTCGGTCCTAGGATTCTGGGATTATGATCTGAGTCCAAGGCAGATGCTTAACCGACTGAGCCACGCAGGTGCCCGTGCAATGTCTAAGATTTTAAATTATTAAAAACCTGAAAGCTAGAATATTGTACTAGAGTCTACCAAAACAGAAACTGCATTTAAAGATATTATAATAACCACTATATGATACTAATTTTGTTGAACTACTTGAAAAAGTACCATATGAAGAATCAATACTTTTTAAAAAAAATTTTAAGACTTTATTTATTCATGAGAGACACACAGAGAGAGGCAGAGACACAGGCAGAGGGAGAAGCAGGCTCCATGCACCGGGAGCCCGATGTGGGATTCGATCCCAGGATCTGGGATCACGCCCTGAGCCAAAGGCAGACGCTCAACCGCTGAGCCACCCAGGCGTCCCAGAATCAATACCTTTATTTTATTTTATTTTATTTTATTTTAATTTTTATTTATTTATGATAGTCACACAGAGAGAGAGACAGAGAGAGGCAGAGACACAGGCAGAGGGAGAAGCAGGCTCCATGCACCGGGCGCCCGACGTGGGATTCGATCCTGGGTCTCCAGGATCGCGCCCTGGGCCAAAGGCAGGCACTAAACCGCTGCACCACCCAGGGATCCCAAATCAATACCTTTAAAACAAAGTTATATCCTAAAAGATTTCTACTTACCAGTTATCACCAGTAATAGCGTCATAAAAGTCTCCGCACAATCTGGAACTTTCATCTCATCCACATCAGTGATATCCTTATATTGAGATATCCAGGCAGCCTCTGATGAAAGCATTGAGTCCATTTTTTGAAGAGCAACTGACAGCACAAAAAAGGAGTATGTCAAGTAGTTACAGTCATTCTTAATTTTCAGCACAATTTTTGGAATAATGACTTTTCTGTAAAAAATAAATTCACAACCTCCTAACAGTTGCACTATATTTAATATGCTCTGTTCTAGGGTTGAACAAGATTTGACTTCTCCCCATTACCCCTTCCCAAAATCTTCAAAATATTTAAACTGCTTAGGGGATCCCTCGGTGGCTCAGCAGTTTAGCGCCTGCCTTTGGCCCAGAGCGCGATCCTGGAATCCCGGGATTGAGTCCCGCGTTGGGCTCCCGGCATGAAGCCTGCTTCTCCCTCTGCCTGTCTCTGCCTCTCTCTCTCTCTCTATCATGAATAAATAAATAAAATCTTTAAAAATATATATTTAAACTGCTTAGACAAGCTATATCCAACAGCGCTACCAAGAACAGAAATACTGTAGTACAATCTATAAAACAGTTAACTGTATACCCTACTGGCTTGACTACTGCCCTCTGGAAACATGCACAGTACAAGTGTAAATTTAAGGAAAACTGGTTTGATGGGAAGAAAATAAAGCAACTTGGTAAACCCTGACCAGAAAAATTCAGATGATTCTAGTTTCTACCCAGAGCTGGTGGAGAAAAACACCAAAAATTAATACCCACAAAAGAAGACAATTCTTTGTACCCTATGGGTACATGAACACTTACATTTTCTCTCCACGGTCAACCACCTCTGAAAACAGGTTTCCTCTGATAGAATATGCATACAGTTTGCAAAAGTGCCAGGATAGCCATAAACACTATGTAGCTCCCTTTCGAACAAAAGCACCTCATCCACCAGATGACAGAAGAGATTGTCATCATAGAGCAGACATGGTATATCAGCAGCTAACTTCTCAAGAACGAGCATCATAAGCCCCCGGGAAAATTCAAGCTAAAAGAAATACATATGCATAAGGTAATGTAGATGACAAGTTATTCATGGATACATAGAACTCTAAAACTAGAATGCTCAGGACCAAGTCTCTTACCCTCGCATTTACTGAAGGGCCTACTTTGTCTAATATTGGCTGAATCTTCTCATCCAGAAACTGAGTGTGATTCCCGATCCACATAAGTACCTGAGCCAAGTACCATTCAGGCTAAGGAAAGAAGTAAAACAGTTTGAATTCTTAAATCATTCCAATTAGAACGTTACAATTAAACAGTTCTATTTAACTGTATACACACAGCACTTATAAAAATTAGTTGAAAATTACTATGTATAAGAACACAATTTCTACTCTGAACTTCGAGGTGGTTTGTGTGGTCACAAACCACACAATGTATGGTATTCCCAACAAATTCCCAAACATGGCATAAGTCCATAAAGTCATAAATTTACAATATCATATATATTTAAAATGTAGCACTTTGGAAATATGTAAAATAATGAGCATTACAAAGATCTCATGGTCTTTAAATTGGGTTTAGACCATAACATTCCCAAATAACTTTTTTTTTGACTTTATTTATATATTCATGAGAGACACAGAGACAGAGAGAGAGAGAGGCAGAGACACAGGCAGAAGGAGAAGCAGGCTCCATGCAGGGAGCCCGATGTGGGACTCGATCCCAGGTCTCCAGGAAAACGCCCTGGGCTGAAGGTGGCGCTAAACCGCTCAGCAACCTGGGCTGCCCAAAATAACTTTTAAACTTGATTTTCTTCTGCTCTGTCTTTTGAAAAGGTAAATTAAGGAAAAACAACACATGCCTTCAACCAGGTGTAATCATAGAAAAGTAAACCTAAGTAGGCAGCTTTTTAAATTGTCCCTAGAGCCGATCCTACACACCTTCCAAGTTTTGTTGGACAAGTACTCAAAAACACTGAGTGGTAAATCCCTGCTGTGTGCTAGATGCTGGAAATACAAAAGTGAATAAGGGATGTCTCTAATTTCAGGGGCTGTAGAGTTTAGGCTTGATGACACAGTGGAACTACACTTTACAAAGAAGTCAACATAACTCACAATTTTCTTACCTCAAATTCTCCCTGCTTCTCTATAGCCTTAGGTTTATTGCTTTGCCTCACTTACTACTTACTAATTGATTCTACTCTTCTTTCCACCAACACCCCATCCTAAAAAGGAGGAGACCCATTAAGTACAAAAGAATAAGCTGAATTTAAGAACCAGGAAAAAAAAAAAAAACAAACACAGAAATCCATTGCCATTCTACTCCATTCTGTGCAAACAACTGCCTATCCTTTGATTTCTTTAAAATTCTGTAAGGCCTATAAACTCATTTATTTATATATATGGCACATACAATGCCTAGTGTGAGTCGCCAGTGATCAACCCCCACCCCCGCACACCCACTTGTGCTGCATTAAATGTAGCAAAGCTCAAGGATAAACAAGGTAGTATCCACCCCCTGGCAACAGTTCTAGTTCTCAACAAATGCAATCAAATTTCATTTTTAAAAAATGCCTGATGGTTTTTCAAGTCAAAGAAAAATCTCAACGATATCTCCGATATACATGGCTAGAATCCCCCCAACTACATGTTGGTGATAATTTCCTTACAGCCATTTCCATCATTCCTGTACAGCCACAAACCATTTTAGCATCAACAATCTATTCAGAAGCTAATACTTGACTATCTTTTGACTTTAGCTTCTCTTTCTGATATAAACTGCAAGGAGCAATCTGCACAGTGAAATGGGGAGCCGGGTGTAAAAAGTGCCCCACAGATGCTACAGCACACACACAGGGAAACTTGAGACTGGTCAGATGATGTGCTAATGAGTGAGCCGATTCTGACAACCCCTCAACAGAAGTCCTGAAATAGATCTATCAAGGCCATTGACAAAATAGGAATTTAGCTCTTTAGAGAAGAGAAACATGAATGGAATCAGATTTTAACTTAAACCAGAGAAAGTATGGAACACTTAACATTTGCTATTAACAAAAACCAAGGGCCAGAGTTGACAAAGCATACCTTGCTTATCACATTAGTCTGTCGGTTCCCTCGGAAGTGATACCGGAACCTTTTCTGAAGGGGAGTCAGCATAATCTGGATGGGCAGGATGACAGAAGGGGATGCGGGGAGACAGTATTTTTCTGGAAGTTGTTTTGGCTCAGTAAGTAATTCATCTCTGACATAGTCGAGTCAAGGAGAAAGAAAAGTATATATATGTGTGTATGTACATACACACGTATGTACCTACGTATATATATACACAATGTATTTTTCCAACAAATATATAAGATACTAAGTAAAACTAATTGTAATACAGATAATTTTACACTGCACATGATTACAATAAAAAGTGCACAAAAAATGTTATTAGAATTGATCTTTCCTAAAATAAAAAATAGTAAGGAAGGAAACACATTTAAGTAATCACTTTATTAAATTAACACTAAGTAAAAAAATAAAAATTAGGATCTCTGGATGGTTCAGCGGTTTAGCGCCTGCCTTTGGCCCAGGGCGTGATCCTGGAATCCTGGGATTGGTCCCGCTTCAGGCTCCTGGCATGGAGCCTGCTTCTCCCTCCTCCTGTGTCTCTGCCTCTCTATGTCTATAATAAATAAATAAATAAACAAACAAACAAACCTTTAAAAAAATAAATAAATATTAATTAATTAACTAACACTAAGTTACTAAGGTCTCCTCCCAGCTGCCCTTTTTTTTTCTGTTGTCCTAAGAGACCTATGCATGATGTAAACTTGAGTCAGTCGTATTTCAGACTGAACCCTCACCCCTCACCGTTCCCACATGCAAATCACTCTGAAAGAGAACAATCCAGCCATCCATAGGTATATACAGATCAAGGCCAAACCAAGTACGCCCATTTGGTTTCTTGGTCACTTTCAAAAAGTTCTACTCTCTAGCCATGAATCCACGCTAGGAAAAAAAAATAATTCAGCAAGTTTTAACTCCAACAAAGATACGAGGTTTGTAGTTTTAGAAGCTGACAAAACAGTGTCTCCAGGTTACTATATATCTCAGGGCCACTGGCTGGTCGACTCAGGCCAACAGTTTGAGACTGGGGAGGTGTGATGAATGGCCAATGAAGCTGAGCTAAAATTTCCTCGAAATCACTGTAACAGAAAAGTAACACATGTATTTCAGTTAAAATGCAAATGTCACCAAATACCACCTGAAAGCAATTCCCATGGAATATGGAGTGAATTCCTTACCTTGTAAGTTTGTCCTTGAGAATCTTATGCCAGAATTTAACAGTGGCTCTCATGAAAGCAAGAAGATGAGTACAAGATGATTCCTGAAGCTTAATGTCAAGTTCCGCCATATACACCAGAGTAGAGGCTGCCTCTGGGACATTATTGGTCATCAGATATTGTTGAATGTTATCACTGTAAAATGAGGCAAAGCAAATTTCAAAGATGATCTGTTCAAAATAATTCCAAATGCAGAGAAACTACTTCTCCCTCTTGTTGTATATAAAGTTACATATAAGGAAGAAGGAAGCACCAGCTAGAAGTGGCTTTTTTACCAATGTGGTCAAAGCTTAAAATTTTTCTAGGAAAGCCTAGAAATCAAACTTCCCGGGATCCCTGGGTGGCGCAGCGGTTTGGCGCCTGCCTTTGACCCAGGGCGTGATCCTGGAGACCCGGGATCGAATCCCACGTCGGGCTCCCGGTGCATGGAGCCTGCTTCTGCCTCTGCCTGTGTCTCTGCCTCCCTCTCTCTCTCTCTCTGTGTGACTATCATAAATAAATAAATTTTTAAAAAAAGAAAAAAAGAAATGAAGTCCTCTGGGCTTCTGCAAAAAAAAAAAAAAACAAACTTCCCATGTAAAACCAACAAATCAAATTCTTTGAAACAGCCAAACAGATCTCATGAGCTACCATTTTGCTTATTTGACTTTATAAAGCAAGCATTTAATTTAAAAATTAGATGTGTGTCAACTATACTGATAAAAAGTAAAAATTTGAAAAGTAAAATGAGATGTTTCTTTTGATAAAAATACAGATTTTTTTTTTTAAGATTTTATTTATTTACTCATGAGAGACACACAGAGAGAGAGGGAGAGGCAGAGACACAGGCAGAGGGAAAAGCAGGCTCCATGCAGGGAGCCCGATGCGGGACTCGATCCCAGGCCTCCAGGATAAGGCCCTGGGCTGAAGGCGGCACTAAACCGCCGAGCCACCCGGGCTGCCCAAAAATACATATTCTAAGGGTTGCTGGGTGGCTCAGTCAGTTAATTGTCCAACTCTTGATTTCAGCTCAGGTCATGATCTCAGGGTTGTGAGATCAAGTCCTACGTGGGGCTCAGTGCTGGGGTGTGGAACCTGCTTAAGATTCTCTCCCTCTATCCCTCCCTGGCTCAACTCTCTCTCAAAAAAAAAATTTTTTTTTTTTTAAATAATAACAAGGACCCCTGGGTGGCTCAGTGGTTTAGCGTCTGCCTTCGACTCAAGACAAAATTCGCAGTTCCTGGATCGAGTCCCACATCAGGCTCCCTGCATGGAGCCTGCTTCTCCCTCTGCCTCTTTCTCTCTGTCTCTCATTAATAAATAAATGAAATCTTTAATAATAATAATAATAATAATAATAATAATAATAACAGGGATGCCTGGGTGGCTTAGCAGTTCAGCATCTGCCTTTGGCTCAGGCGTGATATCCCAGGGTACAGGGTTCAGGTCCCACATCGGGCTCCCTGCATGGAGCCTGCTTCTCCCTCTGCCTGTGTCTCCGCCTTTCTCTCTCTCTGTCTCTCTCATGAATAAATAAATAAAATCTTAAAAAAAAAAGAAAGAAAGAAAAGCAGGTGAACGTTACAGAGAAATGAGGAGATGTGGAAAATCTTGGAAGCCCAAAAGAAGCCAGAAATAGAGATTTATCATGGAAGACCTAAAGGAAAGAGCATGTTATTAAAGAGCGAAATAGCTGTGCTCTAGTTGATTATGAATTTGATTACTATTTCCAATATAATTTCCAGGCCAAATTTCTCTTTTAAACAATTCCAACATCAGACAAAAACTATCCATAACCATAGTCCTATTTTAATTAATCTATTACCTTGGCTACTATAAGAGTGAGGCTTTTAAACAATTTATTCTACTTAATAAGGTCATTAATATTGTCCCTTTCTGGTATTTTCTCTCAGAGAAGCCATAACAGTGAAGTAAAAAAAAGCAAGTTTTCAAATTCATTCACTGAAAAAAATTTATCTAAACAAGAAAGAGATGGCCTAAAAACCTTAACTTGACTTCTGGAATCACTGGTAACACTACAGTCTTAATAAGCATACCACATTTTCTGTAAATGTAAAACTCATAAGCAAAACAAAGATTTTCACAGTCCTGACAGGTTAAATTCTTTAAAATTTACCATGGGACATTAAGATTCTTGGATGACCTTTCTTCCTCAAGTCTTCCAGACAACATGAATGGTTGCTGACAACTTTAGAGCAAGAGTATACTTAACGCCAAGGCAGGATGGAACCATGCTGAGGCGCTGGGGGACTCTACCATGAAACCAAACAATCTGCCAATCTAGGCAAAAATGTTCATTTAGCTTGTCTGAAAGGCAATACCAGACACTGATAGTCAACACCACTGACATACATTCATTTCAGAAAGATGTACTTCTGGGGATCCCTGAGTGGTTTATCGCCTGCCTTTGGCCAGGGGCATGGTCCTGGAGTCCTGGGAGCGAGTCCCAGGATCGAGTCCCACATCGGGCTCCCTGCATGGAGCCTACTTCTCCCTCTGCCTGTGTCTCTGCCTCTCTCTCTCTGTGTCTCTCATAAATAAATAAAATCTTAAAAACAAACAAACAAAAAAAAAAAAGATGTACTTCTTTCCCTCCTAACTCACAGGTAGCAAAACTCTGTTAGTCATTTACAAATACTGTGTAGCACTTATTAGATGATTCCCATTGAAAATAATAGAAATCTAAGAGAAAGCAATCCATTTCATCAAGTGACCATGTCTAAAAAGTAGAGAATATTACTACACTGAAGAATGTTTTTATTAATTTGGTTTTATAAATAATAGTAGTTTTTATCATGTGTTCACAATACAACTATAGGACTTAAATTTTTTACTTAGATTACTTTCTTTCAAATGCAAATTAAGCTCCCAGAAAAGTTTATGTTCATTCACAATAAAGAGAATCATTATCATAATGCCATTTTCAGAACTGGTAAAATTACATTATTATCATCTTTAATTAACTCAATTATTTAATGGCATGCATGCACTCGCTAAGACAGATCCTCAAAGGAAAATAATAATTACGAGAACAAAGCGGCCCTTTTTACCTTAGTTCTTCAATTTGTGAAATCCATTTAAGGTAAGCAAGATGGCGCTCAATCTCCTCAATTTGGTTGATCATGGCCCCAAGATCCTCCATCCAGGGCTGTGCAGTCAGCAAATGACTGTTAATGGAACTGAAGAGATGAGTTTCTTGCTCCAGAAACTGATTAAGGAATTGCTTTGATTCTTCTGCATTTTTTAAGGCACTCTGAATTCTTTTGGGGATTTCTGATGAAATTGTAAGCACCTGACCATACCAAAAACAAAGAGCAGCAATCAGATAAAATTTTCATAACCCTTTTTTATTAGATTACCTTCAAAACACATATTTGTTCTAACAGAATTGAAAATTGTCAATTATACGCTTCAAAGAAAGGTGCAGAAAAAAAAAAGTGCGATTTCTGCATCCTGTACCAAACAAACCTAACACAAAATGCTGTAAGTGAAGATGTGTGGGGAGCAGCCTCTCGCCCTAGTAAGGACCTTGGGATCTGCCTTCATGAAGCTCAGCACTTTCAGATGGCCCAGTCACAGGTTATTTTTATGCTTTAGCTACTAAATACTTTCCTCCAAAAATAAATGAAGCTCTGATTCTAAAAATCTGAGTATCTGTTGCAAAAGTTACCCAGGTGATTCTGACTTAATTCCAGGTTAAGAACCACTGACTTGGTAAGATGATATCCTGGTAATAACCTGAGATACGGTGTATTTGTTAATTCTTATAGCATATGGAAAAACATATACAAACATCAGGGTTTTGTTTTAAGCTTTATTTATTCATGAGAGACACAGAGAAAGACAGAGACACAGGCAGAGGGAGAAGCAGGTTCCATGTAAGAAGCCTGATGTGGGACTCGATCCTGGGACTCCAAGATCACACCCTGAGCCAAAGGCAGACGCCCAACCACTGAGCCACGCAGGCGTCCCAAATATCAGTTATCAATACAATATAAAGACTATTACAGGGGAACTTCAATTTAATAAACAATGATTAGACACTGTACAAGGCATTGTGCTTGGAATAGACAAGACATAGCATATGCCCTTAAGCTCAGTTCGTATGGAAGAGAAATATAAGCAAATAATTACTGTATTATAGGATTAATGCAATAAAAGAGAGATGCTAGGTGTAATGAGGTACTAAGGCAGTGTTTCCCAAAACTGAATGTACAAGGGAATCACCTAGAGATCTGATATAATGCTAATTTGAACTCACTAGGTCTGAGGTAGGGACTGAGATTCTGCATGTTTAACAAGCTCCCACACTTTGGAGAGCAAGGTTTTGAGGCACAAGGCAATTAATTGTGCTTGCATGGCTCCCACACAGACCTTCACAGGATGGGTGGGAATTTTCTGGGAAACTTTGGATGGAAAGGGCATTCCAGGCAAAAGGAATGGCTCAGTCATGATCAGAGAATAGCAAAGAGCTGAGTAAGGCACAGAATACAGTTCAAAAAACAAACGTAGAAAGAAGAGATGAGCCCAGACTAGTAAGGAGAGACGAGCTCACAGGAGCATCCTGTGCCTCAGAAGAATGTGGGCTTTCTCCAACAGGCAATGGGAAGCCATTAATAGTTGTTTTGTCTTTTTTTTTTTTTTTTTTTTAAGTAGGTTCCAGGGATGCCTGGGTGGCTCAGCAATTGAGCATCTGCCTTCATCTCAGGGAGTCCAACATCGGGCTCCCTGCATGAGGCCTGCTTTTCCCTCTGCCTGTGTCTCTGCCTCTCTCTGTCTGTTATGAATAAATAAATCTTTAAAAAAACAAAACTGAATTTAAGGTTCAGTAAGGTTCAAGTGTAGAGCTTGAACTCATGACCCAAGGATCGAGACCTGAGCTGAGAGAGTTGGATGCTTAACCGACTGAGCTACCCAGGTGCCCTGCAAGTTTTTAACAAGGGACTCATTTGGTTAAATTTATGATTTAAAAAGTAATGTGACAAAATATTATGTTTATTCTCCTATTTGCAATAATAAAAACTAGAAATAGCAAAAATGTTGACCAATAAGAACCTGGTTAAGTAAATTATATAGAACCATAGTTGAATAAAGCATTAAAAAAGAGAGACCTATATAGATTGATACGAAAAATAGTAGACCACATTAATTATAAAAAGTAAGGGGATCCCTGGGTGGCTCAGCAGTTTAACACCTGTCTTTGGCCCAGGGTGTGATCCTGGAGTCCCCAGATCGAGTCCCACATCAGGATCCCTGCATGGAGCCAGCTTCTCCCTCTGTGTCTCTGCCTCTGTCTGTGCCTCTTGTGAAGAAATAAATAAAATCTTAAAAAAGAAAGTAAAGCTATGCATATTTAAAGTACACATATGCTTATTATGTACACAAAGATTTTAGCTATACTTTATACATGTTTATTTATTTACACAATACAATTTCTGTAAAGAATAAAAACAAGAGACAGTTGCTGTGGGGACAAGAAGGCAGGAGAGGCTGGGCAAACTGCCATCGAGTGCAGGAGAGCCTGCAGCCCTAAACTGGTGGCAGAAGGGGTGGAACGAGGGCACAGATCGACATGGGAGATGTGAAGGGGGGCAGACTCTGAGGTCTTGGTGACCGGGCAGTGGAGGCAGGATGACAAGCAATCTAGGAAGGCTCCTAGGTTCAGGCCCGAGTGACAGGTAGATGGTGGTGCCATATTCCAAGGGAAACATCTGAAGAGACAGAAATGCTGAATTTAAGGTTCAGTGAGGGACTCCGGCCAAAGCTTCCATGGTCATCAGGAAAATGAACCTGACTGGGAAGTGGAGATAGACATGAAGAAAGATGAACTTTTTGAGAAAGCCTAAGGAGAAAAGGAAGAAACTAACACCTAGTAAAATGAGGCGAGGGTTTTTAGTTTGGGTTTTTAGGAAAAGATCTGGGCGTGTCCCTATGCTGAGAGGACAGGACTGGCTGAGCAGCAGAGGAGGAAACAAGAAGCAAGTTCACTCGGGTGGCAGGTGGAACGTGAGGCATGACTGTCTCAGATTAATCCTCTGCTGAATTACGTAGTGGAAAAGGTTGCAAATAAGTTTCTGGAACGTGGGATAGACTGTTCAGTAATTCATGCTAAGTCCCCTGAATTTGTTCTTTTTGGGAAAAGGAAAAGACAGAATGGCCGCGTGGGGTAGGTATCTTGGGGAAAGTTCAGAAGAGCAGCTGAGGGCAGAGGCAGAGGAGCCAACCTTCCCAAGGAAGCAGCCATGGAAGGACTGCCAGGGGGCTGAGGACCACTCACCTTTCCTCTCAAGAGCCCACCATACATATGCATGTATGGCAGAGCTTGCCTGCCAGAAGGGAACAGGAGGACGGGGTGGGGCCAAGCTTAGGGAACTGTGGTAGCCATTGTGGAGAGACAGGAAGATGGGAGGCCTGGGGTGCTGGGGATGGGAACACAGCACTGACAACCCAGGGCTAACACACCCACACAGCCACACACAGTTTATTTAACCCAGTGTAGTAGTTACAGGACGTACAGCTTTTATCCTTGACAAACACATTCTTGCAAGAAAAGGATCCACTTATTTTTTAAGATTACATTCATTGGGTTTTTTAAAAACTATTTTAATACATTCACTATAAAAAGAAAATACTTGGAAATAAAGACATGAAGCAAATAAATCACCTGTTAACCAACCACCCAGAAATAACCATTATTAAGTTATACTAATTTTCACATTTTCTCCTTATGAGTGGGCATATACAAAGTTTGAAATGACGGTGCTATAACACTTTTGTACACCATGAAATGACATACTTTTAAAGTGCTTCTATACTTTAAAAGTCACTGTATGAAAAGCTACTTAAAATGCTAGCCGTCATTATGTTTTTAAGACCTAAATCATATCAGCAGGAACTCTTTCTTTTTCTTTTTAAAGATTTTATTTTTAAGTAAACTCTCCACCCCACGTGGGGCTTGAATTCACTATCCTGAAATCAAAGTTGCACACTCCACTGACTGAGCCTGCAAGGCACCCTCAAGATCTTTTGTCTTTTATGTAATTTATAAAATACTAGCATGCTGTAAGTCCTTAAAAGATATACAACAGTTTTAAATGATTACATTACTTTTCACAAGCTATGTCTTCAAAATTCCCTATACAATAATGGGTATGTTTATATTATAGTATGTATCTACTTCTGATATTATTTGTGAGGGTTTTTTTTAAATATTTTATTTTTTTTTAAGATTTTATTTATTTATTCATGAGAGACACACAGAGAGAGGCAGAGACACAGGCAGAGGAGGAGCAAGCTCCATGCAGGGAGCCTGACGTGGGACTCGATCCTGGGTCTCCAGGGTCACGCCCTGGACTGAAGGCGGCGCTAAACCATTGAGCCACCGGGGCTGCCCTAAAGATTTTATTTAAAGAGAGAACATGAGCTGAGAAGCCCAACGCAGGACTCGATCCCAGGACCCCGAGATCATGACCTGAACTGCAGGCAGACGTTTAACTAACTGAGCCACCCACGTGTCCCTATTTCAAGGAGTTTTAATACTTGCCTGTTCTTCTAACTGCATTTTATTTTCCGTCATCTGTTCTATGAGTTTATCAAGTTTCTTTAAAGATTTAAGGTCATTTCCAACTTCTTTTTCTATAAATGCAGACACGTAGGCAGGGAGATCACCATTATCTGTATCTTCATTGACTTGTTCATTTCCAACAAGAGCTATAATATTTATGTCACCTGAAATGAAAGAATAACAATTATTCAACATTACTAAGTACCACACGGTTAAATGAAAAATAAAACATAGATAAAGCAATATATCTACCTTCAAAAGTTTGTAATTTAAAGGAAACACTATATAGGGTATGCATATATATGTTCATGTATATACATACCATATACACACACAAAAAATATATGTATACACACAAAAATACCAAAATGAATATAGTATATATATATGTATAAGCATGTGTGTATGTGTATATATGTTCATTTGGACTTTTTTGTACACACACACAAAAAAATACCCAAATGAATAGTTATAAAGCAATCTATCAAGTACAAAATGCTTAAGAGCTTGGGCAGCCTGGGTGGCTCAGCGGTTGAGCGCCACCTTCAGCCCAGGGCATGATCCTGGCGACCCAGGGTTGAGTCCCACGTTGGGCTCCTTGCAGGGAGCCTGCTTCTCCCTCTGCCTGTGTCTCTGCCTCTCTCTCTCTCTGTGTCTCTCATGAATAAATATAATCTTAAAACAACAAAACAAAACAAAACAGAACAAAAACGCTTAAGAGCTGAAGAAATTCAGAGTGAAAGTCTCGAAGTCTGTCTAGTAACCACAGGTTTCAACAGATACTGGCATGACGATGCAGTTACAAGCAGATGTTAGACTTTTCTAAAAGACTTTTATCTTACAAATCTGTTTTATTACTAGAGTTAAAAAATAGTCAAATCTGGGCAGCCCAGGGGGCTCGGCAGTTTAGCACCGCCTTCAGCCCAGGGCCTGATCCTGGAGACTGGGGATCCAGTCCCACATTGGGATCCCTGCATGGGGCCTGCTTCTCCCTCTGCCTGTGTCTCTGCCTCTTTCTCTGTGTCTCTCATGAATAAATAAATAAAATCTTAAAAAAAAAAAAAAGGTCAACTCTTATTGATGTGGGTTTCACTAAAGTAGTAATATATTTTCAAAATTTGTAAGGAAACAGATTGTGGTCTAGAATAACACCAAAGGAGGACCAATTGCATCTGCCTTGGACCTAGGGCATGATCCCAGAGTTCTGGGATCGAGTCCCGCATTGGGCTCCCTACATGGAGCCTGCTTCTCCTTCTGCCTGTGTCTCTGCCGCTCTCTCTCTGTGTCTCCCATGAATAAATAACTAAAATCTTTAAAAAATAAAATAAAATGTTAAAAAAAAGGAGAAAAACAGTACTGAAAAGATTTCAAGGATATGAAAAAAAATTGAAAGGCTGACCAATGAGTAAAAACTCCTCTTATAAGAGTAAAAAAGTTTTAAAAGCTTCAAATGCAAAAACAAAAAAAAAAAGCTTCAAATGCCATTGTACACAGATGCTCATGTCAGAAAAAGAAGAATAAAAGGAAGTGCGAGAGAAAACACAAGTTACTATGAAAAACTCAAAACAACTGGTGCAACCACTAAGTTGTACAGTCTGAAGTGAGATTCCTTCCATGGCAAATAAATGAGACTTGGACTGACCCACACTATACTTATTAAATGTGACAAGAGTGGGTGACTCGCACCCCTGAGCCATTTCTAGGGAAGAGTGGTAGGAGAGGCGGCACAGACTGTAATGGAGCAAACAATGCCCATTGAAAACAGGAACACTGTGCAGCTCTGCTTTCACCCCATTTAGGAGGTGGGATTTCCCAAAAAGCCCATTCCTTACTTTGCACTTGAAAACCGATCATTTCCCATCATTTCCAAGTCAGTTTTTCACTCTGTAAGCATCTATACCCTCCTCCACTATCTACAATGTTCAGGAAATAATTAAGCAACTTAAGCTGCCTCTAATTCTTTATGGAATAAGCCAAGATTCAAATACATAAATAGGGCAGCCGGGGTGGCTCAGCAGTTTAGCGCCGCCATCAGCCCAGGGCCTGATCCTGGAGTCCCAGGATCAAGTCCCACGTCGGGCTCCCTGCATGGAGCCTGCTTCTCCCTCTGCCTGTCTCTGCCTCTCTCTGTGTGTGTATTCTCATGAATAAATGAATAAAATCTTTTAAAAAATACATAAATAAGTAATTTTCCATTTTTATTCAAAGAAACAAATTTCTAGTATACACTTAATCCACTTGAAAGGAAATCAAATTCTCTTCCACTGTCCTAAGTTTGTGGATGCACAATACGGCTTCTCCTTTCCAGAGTATCTCCCCCTATACCTTCCCTGACCATCTGTGCCAAGTGGACGTGCCTACACCCCAGAGAAACCTGAGGGCCACAGGGTTGTCTTGGCAGGAGTGACAGGATCCACAGTTGCTGTCATGTCTCCTGCCACTCCCACTCCACCCCTCTGTGCTCAGATACACTGTTTCCTTTGAAGTATCTGTTTCCATGTGCAGGCTATTCCCTTGAGTTCCCTATGGTATCCTTCTTCCAGGAGAAGGTTAGGAAGCTTGGTATAATGGCAGCTGCCTTTCACTGTGGGGTCACTAAGCTCCCCACTAGCCAATATGCTCAACTCCATTCAGTCCACAATTTGAATTATTCCACACACAGGTCTTTATCTCCCTAGATTTAAATAGCACCTATAGATTAAAAAAAAAAAAAATGGGGGGTGGGGGTTGCCTAGGAGGCGCAGGCGGTTAAGCATCTGACTTTTTTTTTTTTTTTTTTTTACTTTTTATTTATTTATGATAGTCACAGAGATAGAGAGAGGCAAGGCAGAGACACAGGCAGAGGGAGAAGCAGGCTCCATGCACCGGGAGCCCAACGTGGGATTCAATCCCGGGTCCCCAGGATCGCGCCCTGGGCCAAAGGCAGGCGCTAAACCGCTGCACCACCCAGGGTTCCCAAGCATCTGACTCTTGATTTCAGCTCAGGTTGGGATTTCAAGGGCAAAAGATAGAGCCCCACGTCAAGCCCCATAGAGGGCTGCATGCTCAGCAGGAAGTCCGCTTGTCCCCTTCTCTCCCCTCTGTACCTCCCCTTGTACACTCTCTCTCAAATAAATAAATAAAATCTTAAAAAAAAGAGATAATGTAAAAATATAAGTGGAATAACCACTGATCTCCAGATGAAAATAACTGCTATAACAGAAGATCCCAGAGAAAAAGCAGACTTTCTAGAAACCAAACCTGAGAATAAACCTGAACATAGAGCGCATTTCTCCCCTTCAGCTTTAACTGAAGGATTTGGTCCTCTTGAAACAATTAACAGGGGGATCCCTGGGGGGCTCAGTGGTTTAGCACCTGCTTTCACCCCAGAGTGTGATCCTGGAGCCCCAGGATTAAGTCCCAGGATTGAGTCCCACATCAGGCTCCCTGCATGGAGCCTGCTTCTCCCTCTGCCTGTGTCTCTGCCTCTGTGTCTCTCATGAATAAATAAAATCTTTAAAAAAACAACAAAAACAAATTAAAAGCTTGATCGTATTAGCATATGTTTAATTACAGAAACTATAGCAATTTCAAGAAAGAAAGGAGAGAGAGAGAGAGAGGTGTGTGTGCTCAAGAGATAAAGCTGGGAGAACAATACAGAGCCTCCTGAGGAGCGGTACCGGTAGAACTTTGCCCCTGTTCTTCCTAGAGCTGCCCTTGTAGAACTTGGCTCTTTACCAAAAATGAAGTTTTAAGAAAGCAACAAGAGAAAGCAAGAGGTTATAATCAGCCTCATTGCAAAACACAACTGTTACTTCTGATAAAATGAAAATATGAGTATTTTTTAAAAAGATATGCCTAAATGCAAAATAGAACTGTCATATACTCCATTATTTCTCTAAAGATTAACAGAATATATACCAATGTGTTTAGTACTGGGTATGTTTCTCTTCCAGCTCCCCAAAACCAAATTTTCCTTTGTTCTCTTCAGCTTGTAAGAATTAAAAGCAGGGTGCCTGGGTGTCTCAGTTTGCTAAGCATCTGCCTTTGGCTCAGGTTATGATCCCAAGGTCTCTGTTCAGCAGGAAGCCTGCTTCTTCCTCCCTCTCTGCCTACTTGTGCTCTGTCAAATAAATAAATAAAAGCTTTAAAAAAAAAGAATTAAAAGCTTTTTGTATGCTACTAGTACCAGTAGCCCACTCATGAGTGTTAGAAAAACTAGTATAAATCTAGTAGCCTCAACTTCCCAACTATAAAATTGTAACATTGGCCCAGCTCTTATACCTAAGGGTTATAAACGGGATTAAAGTCCAAGTTTCCTGACTCTCAACTCATTTAAAAAAAATTTTTTTTTCTCCTTCAAATATGAGAATTGGCTGGTCTGCATCACACTTTATCAATACAGAAATCCACCTACGTTATGTACAGGAGTCACAGTATCCTCTTTTTTAATTTATCTTAAATAACTGCATTGTGTGGTGCATCTGCAGACACCCACAGGCTGGGCTATGTGCAGAGGAAATGTCTGGTGAATGCTAAGGTCGCTGTGGCTTTGGGAGCAAATTTTATCTTCACTTACTTTTATTTACTTTTTTTTTTAATGATAGTCCCACAGAGAGAGAGAGAGAGAGAGAGAGAGAGAGAGAGAGAGAGGCAGAGACACAGGCAGAGGGAGAAGCAGGCTCCATGCACCGGGAGCCTGATGTGGGATTCGATCCCGGGTCTCCAGGATCGCGCCCCGGGGCCAAAGGCAGGAGCCAAACTGCTGCGCCACCCAGGGATCCCTACTTTTTTTTTTTTTTTTTTTTTAAGATTTTACTTATTTATTAGAGATACAGAGAGAGTGAGAGGCAGAGACACAGGCAGAGGGAGCAGGCTCCATGCAGGGAGCCCAACATGGGACTCAATCCCGGGTCTCCAGGATCCCGCCCTAGACCGAAGGTGGCACTAAACCGCTGAGCCACCCAGGCTGCCCTACTTATTTTTTTATTAATTTTTTTTTTACCTTTTATATTCTTTAGACATCACCATTTAAATGCAGCATAGTATATTCTTAATCAAATGATTTTTTAAAGATTCATCTATTAATTTATTAGAGAGAGAGAAAGAGCACAAGGCGGGGTTAGGGTCAGAGGGAGAGGGAGAAGCGGACTCCCTGCTAGCAGGGAACCAAAGGCAGACACTTTAACTGACTGAGCCACCCACGTGCCCCAAATAATATTAAGATGACACACTGATGATTTGCGAGGTTTTTGTGACTTTCTTCTTCCCTGTTTTTGTAAGGAGCACTGCTGATTGCAAAATTGACCAAAAACCAAAGGAGGGACAAGGACAAAGTCTATAGTCTGTCTATCGTTCTACTAAATGATGGCTCAGGAGGCATCAATTTCCAGGCATCTGGGCAGAGGGAGAAAAGGGAATGGTTGGGATCCCTGGGTGGCGCAGCGGTTTGGCGCCTGCCTTTGGCCCAGGGCGCGATCCTGGAGACCCAGGATCGAGTCCCACATCGGGCTCCCGGTGCATGGAGCCTGCTTCTCCCTCGCCTGTGTCTCTGCCTCTCTCTCTCTCTCTCTCTCTCTGTGACTATCATAAATAAATAAAAAAATTAAAAAAAAAAAAAGAAACTCTGCCCTTTAAAAAAAAAAAAAAGAAAAGGGAATGGTTTACTGAAAGATATGGGGTACTCTCCAATCTTTTAACAAAGGAGCTGAGCTGCGGGAGCTATGCCTGTCAAGTGGACTCCTTAGGGCTTTCCTTCTGAGACAGACCGTGTAAGCAGGCAATGTTAAGGGCAAGCCTGACTCCTTTTTTTAAAAATTATTCTATTTATTCATGAGAGACACAGAGGGAGAGGCAGAGACACAGGCAGAGGGAGAAGCAGGCTCCATGGAGGGAGCCGGACGTGGGACTCATCCCAGGACCCCAGGATCACACCCTGGGCGGAAGGCAGACACTAAACTGCTGAGCCACCCAGGCTGAAGGGCAAGGCTGACTCCTAAAGCCATTGTGATAACGTAAGCACCCTTCCTCCTCCCTCCTTCCAAGACCATTTGCCATGGTGAAAAGAAGCAAAATCCTCTGATGGAATAGCTATTACATGCTTTTCCCTTTCTTCTCTTAACAAATTTCACTTGAAACGCCCCTGAAGACTCCTTGATTTCGAAAAGCCTGCCATGCATCACTCATTAAAATGACGAATGTCCACATCCCTGGCTTATGCTCCTATCCTAGGTAGGAAATAGAGATTTTGACGTCTTTCCCTCTTCTTTTTCCAGACCAAGATCCAGGAAACAAGTTACCCCTTGTACTCTTCTTCCCAGAGCAAAAAAAAATTTTTTTAAGATTTTATTTATTTACTCATGAGAGACACACAGAGAGAGAGGCAGAGACACAGGCAGAGGGAGAAGCAGGCTCCATGCCGGGAGCCCGATGTGGGACTCGATCCCGGGACTCCAGGATGATGCCCTGGGCTGAAGGCGGCGCTAAACAGCTGAGCCACCTGGGCTGCCCCCCAGATCACCTTTTAATGGCATATTCACCGGAGGTAAAGTACAACTTAACCAATAACCATTTTGATTTCAATTAAGGTGGTGTGGGCAACCCTGGTGGCTCAACCGAGTAGCGCCGCCTTCGGCCCAGGGCGTGACCCTGGAGACCCGGGATCGGGATCGAGTCCCACGTCGGGCTCCCTGCGTGCAGTCGGCCTCTGCCCCTCTCTCTCTCTCATGAATAAATTTAAAAAAAAATCCTTAAAAAAAAAAATCAAGTTGGTGGTCATCTCTCCTAGATCGTTAGCCCCTCCGAATTTCTGAAGCTCGATAAGCTGATGCTTCATTAAAACACAGGCGGGCCCCAATTATCCTGAATCCAGGATGAGAGGCAGCAGCGCGCCAGGGAAGCCACCCAGTCCCTGCGCTAAGTAGGGGTCAGGAGGTGCTGATCTCCAAGCCATCCCATGTTTTAGACACGTACGTAATGATAATCAGCACTTTGTGCCCCCCCCCCCAAAAAAAAGATGCATCGATTAGACAGCAGGCCAAGCCTCTCGGCGCCCGCCCGAGCGCTGGGTTCTGGAGACGTCCGGGCAGAGACGCTAAGGTGTCTGGAGTCGCTTACTTTTCTCCCCGACGTCCTTGCTTCCATCGCCACTTTGAGGGCAGCGCTACGGGGACAGACAGAACGACACGGTAAGACCGAAGGGGCCGCGGCGAGTCTTCCGGGAGCCCGAGGGCGTGCTCGGCACCGGGGAGGTCCGCGAGCCGCCCCCACCCCCGGGGGTCCCTGCGCCCCCCCCCCAGGCCCGCCATCCCCCCGGGCCCCCCCGCACCGACACGGTCCCTCGGGAGACCCGTGCCCCTGCCCCGGGCCCCCAGGGCCGCCTCACCGGGGCTGCCGGCGGGGAGCATCCCGCCTCCGCGCGAGTCCTCGGCTCCATGCGCTGCCAGCGCGGCTTCCAGGGCGCGGACTCGCGGGGCGCCCGGGAGGCCGCGGCCCCGCCGCTTCCCCTCCGGTCTCTCTGGTCGCTTCCTCTCCTCCCAGAGAGGCCCTGCCCGCGCAGGCGCGCCCCCCCGAGCGCCGCGGCTTCCCCCTGCTGGCAGGAGGCCGGCACTGCGGCTGCCGGAGGGGGGACCGCGGGGCCGGGGGGCGGGGGGGCGGGCCGACCTGCGCAGCTGGGTCCTTAAGGATCCTTAATGACGGAACTTGAAGGCGCCCCTCCCTCCACCCCATAAGTTCCATGTCAACCGTTTCCATTTTTTTAAAGAGTTTATTTATTCATGAGAGACGCAGAGAGAGAGGCAGAGACACAGGCAGAGGGAGAAGGCTCCATGCACCGGGAACCCGACTTGGGACTCGATCCTGGGTCTCCAGGATCAGGCCCTGGGCCGAAGGCAGGCGCTAAACCGCTGCGCCACCCAGGGATCCCCAACCACTTCAATTTATATTTTAGATGAGATTCCAGATGTTCTGAGAAAGTGAGGCCCCTTGTTGGCCAGCTTTCATGTAATTTGCTTGGTCGGTTTAGTTGGGGGAATTTCCAACGTCGTTAACTCAGGATCTTTCTTTCAGGGCTAATCAGACCCACCTTAGAGATGACCCTCCACTTTCCTGTCTGGAAGGTGCAGATCTGGTTGTAAAGGACTGGGAGCTATACGGAGGAAGAGTACTCACCATCAAATATACACTTGACCCCCATGCAGAGACCCCCAAAAAAGTGGCCTTTGACAAAGAGGGGTACCAAGAGTTACCTGACAGCAAGAGTAGGTAGAGGAACTAGGGGACTTGGCTCCAGGATCACCCCTTGGGCCCAAGGCGGCGCTAAACCGAGGGATCCCTGAATGTGCACTTAAACTGTACATTTATTTTTTTTAAACTGTACATTTAAACTTAACCCTGAACTGTATATTTTACCCTGGTTAAAATAGTAAATTTGGCTTAGTAATGAATACCAAATTAAAATAAGTAATTATTAACTGCAGGAAATAAAAAAGCTGAGCAGAAGAGAAGTAATCATAGTATACTACTTCACCTAAGATGTTAGTAATGTTTACCCATACCCATTATGTATACCCTGTATGCATAATGAAGTAAACACAAACCTATTTTAAAAGGACACTATAGGGATCCCTGGGTAGCGCAGCGGTTTGGCGCCTGCCTTTGGCCCAGGGCGCGATCCTGGAGACCCCGGATCGAATCCCACATCGGGCTCCCGGTGCATGGAGCCTGCTTCTCCCTCTGCCTATGTCTCTGCCTCTCTCTCTCTCTATCATAAATAAATACAAATTAAAAAAAAATTAAAAAAAGAAAAAACGACAGGCAGCCCGGGTGGCCCAGCGGTTTAGCGCCGCCTGCAGCCCAGGGTGTGATCCTGGAGACCTGGGATCCAGTCCCACGTCGGGCTCCCTACATGGAGCCTGCTTCTCTGCCTGTGTCCCTGCCTCTCTCTCTCTCTCTCTCTCTCTCTCTCTCTCATGAATAAATAAATAAAATATTTCTTTAAAAAAATAAAAATAAAAACGACAGTATAGCTAGATTGAGCAGATAAAGAGATGAGAAGTGCGGTGGCGGTGGAGGAAGGGATGGGGAAAGGTCGAAGAGCTAAATCCTCATCTTCCACCTAGTGAAGTCAATAGAAAATACTTAAGAGTGAAAAACCGAGAAATAGCAATGCAAAAATTTTATATAGAGAAATGAAGATAAATATCACAATGACCAGTTAAAAGAGGCAAAATGGGGGCACCTGGGTGGCTTGGTGAGTTAAGCGTCCAGCTCTTGATTTCGGTTCAGGTCGTGATCTCAGGCTGGTGGGATTGAGCCCCACACTCAGTCCCCACACTCAGCAGGGAGCCTGCCTGGGATTCTCTCTCTCCTTCTTCCTCTGCCCCTCCCTCCCAAATATAAATAAATAAATCTTGCTTTTTAAAAAGACGAAACAACTGCCTTTGGGGAGAGGAAAATTGGTAAGGGGGTGTGAGGGTATAGCCTTTGCCGTTTCATTGCAACTTACAAGATTTCTACAGAATTATTTGACTCTAAATCACAGAGATGCATAACTCTGCTAAAAGTAAAAACGTCAAAGAAAAAAAAAAAAGATTGCTCCAAACCCAAATTTTTGCTTCTGAAGAATTCACTTTCTGGTGAGGAAAATAGAAATGAAAATAATTTAAAATCAAATGCAGTAGACTCAACAACAGAAATGCTTGCAATGACTGAGGGAGCACAGAAAACAATTGACTACTATCCGCAGAGTGGAGAGAGGGAGCCTAAGAGGACAGAATATTCAGCAATAATAAGGATGAAACAAGAGATACATTGTGTGTTAGGCACTTAGCAATGCAGAGTGCTGATGTGGCTTAAAAGCAAGATCCCAAATATTATACGTAATATACATGTTCGGATGTAATTTGAAAGTCAAGGAGAACATTAACCTGTTAAATAATTATTAGAGTTGGAATGTAGGACAGGCTTTTTTTTTTTTAAGATTTTATTTATTGGGGCACCTGGGTGGCTCAGTAGTGGAGCGTCTGTCTTTGGCTCAGGTGGTGATCCCGGGGTCCTGGGATCGAGTCTTGCATCAGGCTCTCCGCAGCAAACCTGCTTCTCCCTCTACCTATGCTCTGCCTCTCTCTCTATGTCTCTCATGAATAAATAAATAAAATCTTTAAAAAATAGAGTTACCATATGATACTACAGTTCCACTTCTGGGTATGTAACTCAAGAAATTGAAAGTATCCAAAATAGATATTGAAACAACTGTGTTCATAACAGCATTATTCACAGTAACCAAAAGGTGGAAGCAATGCAACTGATGACAGGTGACAGAATGTGGTTATATAAATATGTAATGGGATATTATTCAATCTTAAAAAGGAAGGAAATTCTGATACATGTTACAACATAGATGAACAGGAAGGAAATAAGACAGTCACAAAGAAACATACTGGATGATTCCACTTACGTGAGTTACCTATAATTGTAAAATTCACCCAGACTAAAAGTAGACCTGTCCTTGTCAGGGGCCAGGAGGACGGGAGACTGGGGAGTTGTTATTTCCTGGGTAGAGAGTTTCAGCTTTGCAAGATGGAAAGAGTTCTGGAGATGAATGGTGCTGTGATGGTTGCACAACAACATGAATGTACTTAATGCCGCTGAATGTGTATTTATTTATTTATTTATTTATTTATTTATTTATTTATTTATTCATGAGAGACAGAGAGAGAGAGAGAGAGAGAGAGAGGCAGAGACACAGGCAGAGGGAGAAGCAGGCTCCATGCACGGAGCCCGATCTGGGACTCATCCCAGGTCCCTGGGGTCACGCCCTGAGCCAATGGCAGGCACTAAACCGCTGAGCCACCCAGGGATCTTTGAATGTGCACTTCAACTGTACATTTAAACTTAATCCTGAACTGTATATTTTACCAAAGTTAAAATAGTAAATTTGGGGCACCTGGATGGCTCAATCGGTTAAGCACCTGTCTTCAGCTCAGGTCATGATCTGAGGATCCTGGGATCCAGCCCTGTATCAGGCTCCCTGCTCAGTGGGGAGTCTGCTTCTCCTTCTCCCTCTGCAACTTCCCCAGTTTATGTTCTCTCGCGCGCTCACTCTCTCCCTCTCAAATAAATAAGAATCTTAAACAAAACAGTGTAGTTTAGTTGTGTGCATTTTACCGCAATTAAAAAAAAAAAGTCTAAAGTTTTGTTGTGTGCATTTTACCGCAATTAAAAAAGCGACCTTGAAGTAACACGCAGGTTTTCCACTGAGGATTGAGATTTGGCAAAATGTTAAACGTGCAAAAGCTATTAAGAGGCCTGGATTTGGTAGTGAAACGTGTGCTATTCGAAGAGCACGGAAACAGTGATGGATAGGAGTGTCCTTCACCCAGAAGCACAAACGTGCTTGACGATCAGTTTTCCCGAAGCAGATCCCACTGAGGAAGCGTCAAGCAGAAGTGGGAAAACAGTTCTCTCGGATTCTCCGCACTTTGAAGGAATTATATCTAGAACAATACAGACCCCGGAGTCCTTTCAAGTCCGGGGCGTGCGGAGGGCTACACGAAAGGGCCGTAGCGTGCGGAAGAAACCTCCGTTAAAGTACACCGAACACGTCCGGCCACCGCCACTTGCGCCGTCCCCGGGACGGTCTGACGGGCTCCCGTGCGCGAGGCGATCACTGCTCGCCCGGGGGAGGCCCCGGAGGGAGGGCGGCGGGGAGCCCGCATCCCGCAGCGCGCAGCGAAGCCCCGAGCCTCGCCTCCCCGCCCCTCCCCGAGGCGCGGGGACGCGAGGGGGCGGGGCCTGTGCGGGGGCGGGGCCTGTGCGGGGGGCGGGGCCGACGGGCGGGGGCGGGGCCGACTGGCGGGGGCGGGGCCGACTGGCGGCGGCGCGTCGCTGCGCGGCACGTGTGAGAGCTCGGCCGCCGGCGGGCCCACGCGCGCTCCGGCTCCGCGCGCTGGCGGCGCTGCTGCCGCTGCCTGTGCCGGGGCGCCCCCGCGGCCGGCTCCTCCGACTGGCCGCCGCCGCCCTCCTGCGCCGGGAGCCGCGCTCGCCCCGCCTCGCCGCCCGGCCCGCGCCGCGCCCGCGCTCGCAGGCCCCGGGTAAGTGCGCCGCCTCGCCGCAGCCGCCCGGGCTCCGCGGTCGGGCCCCAGGGCCCCGCCCCGAGCGGCCGTGCGCCCCGCGAAGGCGTCCCGAGCCCGCGGCGCCTCCGTGACGGACCGTGCCCGCGGGGGCGCGGCGGGAGCCCGAGGTCCGCTCCCGCGGGGCCGGGCCGGTCGGCAGGGGGCGCCGCGCGCTCCCGCCTCCCCGCGCCGCGCGCCGGCCGCGCACCCACGCCGGGCGCTCCCTGCCGTCCTCTGCCCGCGGGCCGGGAGGAAGCCGCGCCGGGCCCCGGACCTTGCAGCTCCGGGGTTGGGGGGGGGCGGGGCGGGGCGCCCACGTGCCGGCCGCGTTTGCATCCGCGATTACGCGCCGCGAGCCCGCCGCATGCCCCGTGGGAGCCTCCAGCCCTGC